CTTTGATACTTCAGCAATGCTAAAACAAAAACGAAGGAGGCCATGAATGCAGAAAAAGTGATCTGTCACTTACGATTGTCAAACGGTTGTTTGCTCTCACTCAAAATCCCTCTGATGAAGATTTGTGAAAAAATATTTACTTTCCATCCATTTCGTATGACAAACAAGTAGGATGAATGTGAATTAAAGCGCAATTCGAAGCGTGCGCGCAGCGAGGTACCATATCTATAAAATTTATAAAGCCGAGAAATGTCGGTCTGTCACGTAATTATAAGTCCATACGTGTAAGCTGCTATATTAAGCATGTGAAGCAATTGCAATGTGAACACAAATTTAGGCATTAAGTAACTAGAGGGGAAAGGGAGAAGGTAACGTGCATGACGATTACGTGTGTGACTTCGAAATACCATTTGTGTGCGCTAGCCTTTTCGCAGGCAAACGTACGAATTTGCACGCGTTCTGACCAAATCTCGCTAATATGTAAATGCCTTGTCAAGGAACACTTCAAACATTTTTTATGCTCGGCTTTATTTACCCCAAATTATGGCATAAGCACCCATATGTAGCAAAATAGTCTATTGATGACTGCAAGCTCTCTTCTGAGTAACATGATAAACAGTTTATTGGGGTTAAATTAAAATGTGATGAGCTGTAGTCCGATCCAGTATCGGCTTACGTCATAGAAAAACAAAGAGTCCCCAGAAACCTGCCAGCGAAAGGGCTAGGAAACACGTGTAGAACATGAATACTTGAACACCGGACCTCGATGTAGCATACCGGGGGCACAAGGTTAGGCATGCACACATCAGCGAAACCAGTAATTTAAATATAAGAAAATATTTGTACACTTTAAAATAGGCTAGAAAATAGCGTTTAACAGACTATTCAAGAGATAGATATCACTCATTCTTAAAAATCAAGTATTCAGCATGCGATGAAAACGCTTTTACTGGCAGATGAATGATCAATAATTTCAAAACGAAGAAACTAAGCATTTCTTTCAATAAAAATAAAAAAAGACGAAACAAAAGGCAGTCAAAATTTAAGGAAAGAAAAATCACTGAGAATGCTAAATTGATGGCAGTCTTGACGTTTGAATAGTGCATTGTAAACTTGATCGCTATGAGCCTGTCGAAAGTAAACAACTTTAGATGAAGACATGAAATATTCACAAATGAAGTCATTACATGGTGATGGAAGGTTTTCAACAATGTCACTGCTGCTGAGACCAAACATAAGGAATAACCTCAACAGGACATACGATGGCTGACAATACAACTACTCAATAAGTTGTCTTATAATCTGTCCACTTTAGGGGCTAATCCAAGCCAAAATGACCGGTTAATACATAATTCACCGCTAAACAGGCAAGCAAGATGTTGTTGTAGGTTCGGAGTCGAAGTGTTCCTTTCACGGCCTTTATCACCAGCGCGTTCAGCAGAACGGTGAAAGGAGAAGTGATGCTGTTGTTGATGATAGTGACAATGTAATCCATTGGGACACTTGTTCATCCCAGAGTAGTTAAATATATCTTGAGTCGGATTCCTAATGAAGATCAACTGAACCTTAAGATCAATAGGTTGGATATTAGATGTTTTCGAATGCTTTGATCGACCCGTTCTACTCTAGTGCGCCTGTGTTTCACTTTACTTTTTCTCACCCATGAATTTAATAAATTGTTATTTACGCTTGTTCATTTTGTTGGTAATGGTAAGTTCAAAGCCTAATGAAGATCAACTCAATCCCAGTGATCACGATTTAATGGAACACCACTTAAGTGCGCAAGTGTTTCCACTTGACTTTTACTCGTATGGAAAGAAAATAATTTATTTTTCTTATAAATAAGAAGATTTTAATTTTGTTGATCGTTATGAGTTCAGTGTCTAATGAGGATCAACTCACTCTCACGAAGCGACCCGTTAAATTTTATCATCCTTGTGGGCGACTTGATGGAGAGCCACCTAGGTCAGTGTTTACGTTTCCCTAATTGTAAGGATTTCAGAATTGGAACTAATTGCGACAGACCTTCTCCCATAGTGAGGGAAGTTTAGGCTGGCAAAGTGAGCTAAAATCATTATCAACTAAGGAGCATTGCATGAATCTCTGGGATGAGTCATCCATTTTTTGTTGGTGTTTTGACTCAAATCTTCCTTCGAGGTCATTTTCAAAAGGCTACGAATAGGCTGAATCCCTCTGATCATATCAGAGTTTTCTATTGCGAGTTCGAGTTTTATCTTAGTACTAGTAAACGATTCCTTTCTTAATGGTTTCCCATATTATTTTAGTGTTAGTCAAGTAGGTATTGAACTCAAGCATAAAGAAGTTAGGCGAGAGGCCAATTTGAAACAGAATTCAGCGATGAGTTAGGTGATTTATCTTTTTGAAATTAAATTGTTTAAGTACCTCCAAATACTCTTCCTTTGATTTTAGTGGCCGTTGCGGTCACTTTGGTGTGGGCTTTTTAAAACTCAGTCGAAATGAGCTCTAGTTAGAAACTGTTATCATTATAATGATGGAAAGGCCGCTACTCAATCAGAAAAGAAGCTTTCGCTAGTGCGACGATAGCATCATGAATAGGGCCAAAATTTCCGTGGAACAAACTGCAATTTAAAAAAATTGTGAATTTTTCAGAATAGATAGAGAGTTTTATTCTTAAGTTTTTAACATGATTTCTGTCAAACGCAGACGTCAAAGATCAAAACTTACCGGGGTAATTGCAAACTGAACCGTGTGTTGGTGAGGGAAATGTCATGTGTTGAGTTGGATACCAAATGAAGATCAAGTAAACCTTTGGATCAATGGGTCAAATATTAGCTGATTTCCAGAGGCTTTTATAGATGAGCTCAGTTGACTCTTGTGTGAATGTGTTTCCACTCAACTTTTTCTGGCGCATAAATCACAGTTATCCATAATTGTATAATTTATGATGTCCTTTTTTGTTGGAAATCACAAATATAAGTTTGGTTATACTATCAAAAAGATTAATAGGAAAAATAAACAAAAGGGACTTGGAAGGGATGGAGATGGAGAGGATTGGCAGCGACTGGAAACAAACATCTTCCATATTTAAGAAAATTTAGGCCGGCAGGATGAGTTCACTAACGGCTTAAATCAATTGTATGAATCACTGGGTCAACAAATCAGTATTTTTGTTCCTATTTTGACTGTCCTGGAGATCAGCATACGGGTTTGAGTGTTACTAAGTTCTAATGTTATCTATTATTGTTTCCTTTTCAAACGTTTCGCTCACTAGTTTCATTCAGGTAGGCCGCAGCATTAAACCCAAAAATCTAAAATGTGAAGTGAGTGGCTTTTTTCAAACAGAATCCAATTAGAATTCTTTTCCCTCGCTCTTAATATATCAATATCGATTGTGCAAATGCTTTTCTGGTAGTTTTTAACTGAGTAACTCGTAGCCAATAAACAACATCTAGAGTCTTCTCTTAAATCTCCTCACGGAATTTGCGAAGTGTTCGCCCGGCAAAAGATTGTCTTCTTTTTTTTTTACTAAAGTAAGGCGCAAAACCAGTAATTAAAATGAACATACATGTGTGTACACTGAACATAGCCTAAAAATCTAAAAACCCTCACCCGAGTAGCTTTAAGAACACACGAAATTGTTAGTTGTAGCACTCTGCATTAAAAGCTTTAACACAACCCGCTGTTTTTTCCATGACATATCTTTTGAATGGTTTGTCAAACGAACTCGAGACATGTTAAATTCGGCTTTGACGAACAACTTCATCTTTTCAATCATGGTAGAGAGATCGAGATAGATATTGCCAGTATTTAGTATTTTTTAAGGGAAATGTGTGCAAAAGCGACGTCTTAGGCAAAGTCCTTTGATGTGCCAAAGTCCAACTTAATTGCACTCTTCACAACTCATGACAGACCAAACCTTAAATATCTGCCTTAAGTTATTTGCTACAATATCGTGAACTGGCCTAGGTTTTCAGTATTGTCATAATGAAACAGTTTGGGTATTGCCAGCTACGGGAGATGGATGACATTTTGGCTGCCTCGTTGTGATTAGCGAGGACGCTCTCAGTTGACCATCGTCCCGTCTTTATAATAGCCTATGGACTTGAGTCAGCCCGTGTAGTAAGGGTCACATATTACTTAAAAATTAAATCATACACGCATTTGAATGGCTCTTACATATGTTCTATTGGAGGAGAGACGCATAGATGATGTCGCCGTTAACAACATTTTGCTACCGCGTGTCTGATATTCAAAGTTGTGCCCTTTTGGTCAAGAATTACATTTGTTATTACTTTATTTTTCCAATTCTAATTGAAAATAAAAGTTCAGATTTTAAAGAGAACAAACATACCAAAGCTAGTTAGAAAATCACGACATAGAAAATTTATAAACTTTACCATTTCAAAAAAGAAAGGTAACAGAATACTGGAAGGGAAACTTGAATAGAGATGGCAAATTCCAGGTTTTGAGCAAACAAATCCTTAACTCTTGTAGGGTTTGCTCACAACTTTTCAAATCACCAGAGTGCATTTGATTTCGGCCACATGTCAAGTTATTTGCAGAATCCTCATTAACTTTTAATGCTTTAAAGATGAGAAAGGAAATGACTGTTCGAAGAGTACATAACGTCTAAAGCCAAAGCACTGAAGTGGTCAGTGATCATAAAAATTTGAAGAGATTTTGTTCTGTGATTGGTTGGCGATGCTTAGAATGATGTGAGGGAAAACAAATTTAAAGGTTTCGCGTTCAACTACGAGTTCATTTTATTTTTGATTTTAGATTCAAACTGTGTTTAATTTATTCACTGCATAAATATTATCATGGCTTATGTTCATAGAAAGCTTTGTTAGTAGTATCCACATGAATTTTTATTTAAAAAATGCATAAATATATATATGTATTTACATAAATGTGTCCTTAATTTCGGTTCTTTTTCTTCAACGTTATTAACGTTATTAACTGGAGCGCAAAATAAGGAATTATTACAATAAATCATTATTGTTGATTCATATAGTTATTTGAATGTGTGAGTAGAATTTGATGTTGTCACGTGTTGTCACAGGATGTACCAGGTGAGGATAGTCTTTCATGTAGCTTTATTTGCTTGCTTGTTTATACTACGACGTTTGTTCGTCGAAGGAAGGACTTAGCCTCTCTTTCGCCGATTTGTGGATTGCCTGAAAAAGAAAAATAAGATATTCGACAAGAGACATTATTCTTTATCAAAAAAGAAAAAGAAAAGTCGCGGTAATCTCGTTCCTTCACAAGGGACTCGATTCGACTAAGACCACTGCGAGCATTTGGGTGCTTAACCTACACGGGTTTTCTATCTCAAATGTTGAAGCGTAAGCTGCTAGAGTCTTGGATTTGGGAAATTTGTAAATAATGGTAATTGAACTGATTGGAGTGCAATTTGTGAAGGCAGTCACATGATTTCTAGTGCATTTGGGATAAATCAGCAACAAATTGCTTTTGCCTTTTGGGCTTGTGCGATTTGGTTAGCCTTTGAAAAATATACGAGTGTTGATTTATCCCACATTGCACGAGAAAAGTCATGTGATTAATAGTTAATAATTTACAAGCAAAGTTATGACTCTGTTTTCCTTTTTATTTGTTCTTATTTTTTGTCATGGCTCAGCAGTTCGACCGCTTGTCTTTCCCTTGTTGCCGAGGTTTCCCCCTACAACTTGCTTCAAACTTTTAAAACCTTCCTCAAGAATAATTGAGCGTTTATATCCTATGTCTGTTATGTATCAGTCGACAGCAATACTCATTACACGAAAGCCATCACGCTCGTAATCTTCCCCGTCTTTCGTACGAACTATTGCGAAAACTCCTCGAGAATTTTATTCAGGGGCTACGGTTCATACTTTCATATCCGTTTTTGGAAGCCAGACTTTGAGCCAGTTGTTTTACTTTTCTGGGTTTGTTGAATTAAACCGTTGTTGCTTTGTCCTCACCTGTCCGCTATTTTGTTTTGTCATGCTTTCGCATCTTACTCGTCCATCAATTTAATTTCAACTTTCTGCGCTCAATTTCAATTTTCTGCATTGTCCGTGATGACTGACGTGTTTTGAGCCAAACAGAATGCTTATAATTACTTTTTTTAAATGTGTATTTTTAGGTAATATGCGTGATTTGAAATCACAAGTATGATTTCAGACCAAAATCACGTGACACAAAGCTCAACTACTACTTTATTACATCCATCTTGAATCGCAAAATTCAGTCTCTAAGATACACGATCTTTTATTCGTTAAAATATTTTGTTTATCCAGTAGTAAGCTGTTTTGTAGAAAAGTGCAAAAGTTGTTTTTTTTCATTTCCCTGCAATTTGCTTGGTTTCTTTAACAAGCAATTGCTCGTTGTATTTCAGTAGAGTTTCCTCATTGGCTGAGAAAAAGATGCGATTTAGAGCAAAAGAATGATGTGATTCGTGAATAAATCGCGGCTATAAGAGCCAATCAAATTACAAGGATCACCAGTGATTTAAAAAAGAATGTAATGAAGGTTGAAACTTTTCTTTTATGATTTCATGACTAATAACTTTCGCACTAGCTTATGATTAACCCACTGGTCTCATGCCCAAACGTCATTGGGACCAAGCGACTTTTGAGCTTAATGTGCAGGGGATCTAAGTACGAATTAGTGTCCGACAGCCACACCAAATAAATAGTTGAAAGATATGAATGAACAAACTGATGTTCTTAATTACCTCGTCCATGCAGTGTACTTCTCTTGTCGCTGCCTGCAGATCTCAGGTCCTCTTGTGATCTTTCATACGCCTCCTGGTCACTTTCCGATCCTTCTTGTTGTCTTTCGTTTACGTCATAGAAGTTCTCTTGGAATTTTTCATGCACCCTGTGTTGATTTTCATGGTGTGCCTCGTGTACATGCTTGAGATATTCGACGTGATTTTGCATATTTTCACTGTAATGGTCATAGAATTCTTGGAAATATTCATTGGGCAGTGGGCCCCAGTTCGGCGCAGAGTGTACGATTATGAAAATTGCGCAGGCGAATGTAAAAACCCAGAAATGATTCATAAATATTACTTGACTGCTACGTAGACCGTCAGTGGACCTGGAAAAAGGTGGCTATAATTCAGAGAACCGCTTCAGTCGGCGAATAATCAAATTTTCGACGAGGAAAAAAGGAAAATCACGTTTGAAGTTTTATTCATATCCTTGCTCAATGAATAAAAAATTGACTAATACTTTCTGATGCCATGAAGACAGACTCATGCAGCAGAGAATTTTTTCAAAACTTTTTCAAGTCTTTCTAAAATATTTATATAGAAATTGCACCTTACGAAGACTACAGTCAATTGAAAATCATCTTCATGCACATTAATCAAGAAAATAACAGATCAATCCTACTGAACGGTCGACAATCCCTGAAAAATTCGTATGACAGGTAAACAACCCGTGCGTTTTGCCCAGCACCTGTTATAAACAGTTGCTTAAAAAACACTTCATACGTCACAATATTCAGTTGATATTTACTTCAGACGCAACAAACCAGGCTTACCTTGAAAACCAGAAGAAAATAAAGGTGACAAGAAAAGATGCAAACCTCTACATCAGTTTCCCTGACTACTGTGGATCAACCCATCGTGGTGATGTCATCACAGGTCAATCAATCAAAATTCTCTTACATTATGTCAGGAAGAAACTTTGAATCGAACAATCTTAAATATATCTTGGGCCCTTAAAATCCTTTGTATCAAAAAAAACCTGAGTCTATATTAAGTTTCAAGATTTCCCTCATCTGAAATTATATAAGATTTTCTAAACGCATTGACAATAGAGAAAGAACAAAAAGCCAAACCCCTTTTCCACTTCAATAGCCGCCGAAAGCCACCAATATTATTCCCTTTAGTCGTTCTCTAATTGTTTTTGAGCGCAAGCGCTTGGGCGACAAAAAGTGTAACATAGGCTTCACTGGTCTCATCCCTTTTTGTGTCAAGCAAACTTTCGCAACTGGAAATAGTTCGGAGCATGCAGTGTTTCTTCGCCTCGGGACGAGGGGGTCTGAGTATGAGCCCTAGCAGGCCTGGATCCAAGACATAAGGAATCCGTGATTGGAATGCGAAGCCATCCCAAGAAATAAGCTGCAGTTACATTGTATTTGTGGCAAAAGTTTTAAACTTAGTCCACACTTTCAAAAAGTATTGTTTTCCTGACCTCGTTAAGTTGTTTTTTATTAACAGTGTGAAGAAAGCGAGATCCGATCAACATAATCCACTAAATTTATTTTCATCGTATTGGAAATTGAATCATATTGAGGAAAATTATCACAAATGACTCGTATTGTCAAATACTATTTAAAAGATTAATTCGATTTACCAATCTAAGGTTATAACTTGTAAACGCTTCTCGTTTAAGTGAATTTAAAAAAATTTTAATACAAGTGTTGCTCTTGGATTGAGTAGGGTACATCCTGTAATTTTGTTGGGTTCAACAGCCATTTCTTGGTTCGCAGTTCATTCCGTATGTCTAACTTGTAATGTCGCCATTTTTCCCCTGCTACAAAACTACGAAAAACCTCTCTCCTCGAGGGCAGTTGTTTGTTGAGTTTATCCTTCATCTTCTCTAATATGCGTCCTTTCTCGTGTTTAGCCATTACATGTCTTGGAACCAAAACGATTTCCACCTAAAATGGTCAGTTTAATGAAGTGTTCAAAATTTTGATCATTAGCAGCGGGGTTTGATATCAAGAGGGAAATGTGTGCCACGTGAAGACAGTGGCTTCGTTTTAATCAATTTATTGTTTCATTTGGACAAAACGGAATGCGTGAAACTGGGACATGAATTCAAGACATATATAGAGCGAAGAATATCGAGCGCTTTTTGATTGAGTGTCGCAAAACCAAAACCAATGTAATCACGAGGACCAATCGAAGAAAGAAAACACCTTCAAGAGGCAATAAGCGTAAAAAAAACCAAACTGCCCATGCGCGAGAAAACGAGGGTTTTATTTTGCAACTGATTGATGGAGGGGCGAGTTTTGAGGATCAATGAAAGGGCGAAATAAAATACAACCAATGCAATCTCGGACTACTTTCGACACTCAAACGAAATAGCTTTATTTCCTAACTTCAAATTAAAGCACTTTGCTCCTTCGCAATACAGCTCCGTCACCACTCGCCGCGATTTTTACGTTCACCCACATATACTTTCTTACCTTATTAACTGATATAATGCTCATTTTAGTGAAATCTTCTCCAACACCGAAGTAATCCCCTTTACCAAAGAGACAAACAACGAGGAAATGCTTTCTAACGTAATCGTAACTTTTGATTTTGAAGATGTGGCTGTTATCGCCTTCAGCTTCCAATGGTGGTAAAATGAGCCTTCTTTTTGCTAACGGAGGCGTTCTTCGTACAAGAGTCATTTCTCGCACCACCTGACATTGACCAGATCTTATAAAGTAAATACATTCCCCTGGGTTTCCTGCGTCTCGAAGAATCACCTGGGGAAAGTAAATTTGCAACATTAGCTTGGTCTGTCTGTGTGAAATCACTTAACCTTAACCTAACCTTGCTGAAGACTCTTGTCTACAGATAAGGTACAAGGCAAAGGATCCTGGGTAGTCGAAAAGACTCTTAAACTAACAGAATGATAATCTAATCGGCGACAAGTGATTGGTAGGCACCGCTAAAATTCAAATAGAGACGAAAAAAATACTGAATGGTGAGACAGTAACAATAAGACGTTTTTCAACAGAGAAATTTTAATCTGTTTTAAATGCTAAAAGTGTTAGAAACTCGCGCCATGTATTTTAACAATTACCTACTTGATAAACTTTGGGTAACCTATCTGAGTATAAAAGCATACGGATGAAAAGTGAGCAGTCAAAAAGATATTTTTCGCATTCATCAAGACCCTCTCTTACAAAAGGAACGCACCAAAAACTTTTCTCATGATGTTATTTTTATTTGCATGACAAAAAAACATTTTCCTATCAGATGCTTAAATCTGCCTTCGTTTGAGAGCCAATCAGACCAGCATAACTAAACCCAATCGTTTTCTTGAGCCTTAGACCGATTGGACTCGAGAGCGGTGCGCCGGACGGGAACGTCATTTCAGAACGGGAAAGCGCTCGGATAATCTGGACACGACGCTATTTCGACTTCCGGTATTAGCGTTGCCGTTCTCCCCATCGAGTTCAGAACGTTATTTCGCTGGTTTTCCCGTCGTGATCAAAACACCTAGGATTTGCGTTAGTTGTGCACTTATAAACGAGATAATGCTGTTTGGAATGATTTCAGAACTCATTTCCAGGATAACCAGGTCCCTTTCTTTGTTTTATTCGGTGAATTTGTGAAAATTTCCCACTACATTTATTCTGGATTCCCGAGAGGAAACACGATCGTCAGCAAGCTGATTCATTTCTTACACCATGTATGAAAACTCTAAGAATGGGTGCTGTTAATTTTATCGTGAATTAATTCATAGATAAAACTTGCTTCATGTTGAAGTTTATCAAAATGAAACTGAACACGAAGGTTATCTGCTGTATTATTCAGTGTTATTTGTTGTCTTTGTCGTTTTAACCGTGATTAAAAGTGTTCTGCGAATTGAAGTCAGAGATAAAAAAAATTTGAGAATAGTTTTTGATCAGCGCCGGAGAAAACTAAGACGAGAAAGTCATGCTATCGCTTCGAAAGAAAATGACAATCAACTTGATTTCGGCACGGCTTTCTAAACCTATTGGTTTGATTAAGTCTTGAACGACTTTATTCGTTAAAAAAATTAAATTAAACAAAAGCAAACACAAAATAAAACAGGGACGAAGTCTTATTCCTCGGTCTAACCGTTTCGTTGGCGACAAGTATGAGTGTATTTCATTCGTTCATGGTTAAACGGGAACTCAATGTAAACAACTCCATCGTTGGGTCGATTGATCTCCACATGTTTTCACCATAACTCCTGATAACTCCATTCAAAATGCATTGCAACTCTAAGAAGGTGGTGCTCAAAAGAGATGTACTATCATGATTGAGAAGAATATTCAGTACAAAAGGGAAAAAATGGCAACGATTTCAATTCCAAATAGTCAGCAACACAATTATTCCCGACACACGTGTCTGCTTTATTACGAAATTTACACCAGAGATACTAGAGAGTGTTTTTTTCCCTCTCAGATACTGCTATATCACAGGGAAATGATCCTTCGATATTAACATGGCTAGGACCAAATAGTTCCTTGGGAACACTCTTACTGATCGTCTACGGATTTCTGGTGAATTTCGTATCAATAAATCGTGAGGACTACAACAAAGTGCCGCCTTTTTCGTTCTGTAATGACTCCTAATTTTGTGTATGTTTTGCCATGCATTTGAATATAGATTACATGTTAGCGCAACAGTGAGGGGAATAAGAGAGCTAAGTGCCTCACAGGATAAGGTATCATGAAAACGGCGAGAATCAGTGTAAGGAATATTTTGGCGGTCGCAGAACTGAAAGAGAAACAACATATTGAAAAATTATGCAGATTGATAAAATTAGCATAAACTTCTGAAAGTACTGCCAACCGAAAGTAGAGGAAATCTTCCCAAAGAGTGATACAATTTTACGGCATATGAAAGCTGATCCTAGAGGTACCAGCCTCCTGAGAACTGCGATCTCAAAATAGATCTTAATCTTAAAAGGATACTATATCCGAAAGGTGATAATTACACTCTGAATTTCACGTCATATATATTGAGCCGCTAGCAACAAACTTTAATATCTTTATTCTTCATCGAGTGAAAAAAATATAGACCTTATAAGTGTAAACTTTACTAAAAATTCGACTGTCTTGTCGCCGTCCTTATTTCACACAGTTCTTGATAAAGCGATCTGAAAGTCTTAATACACGCCCGTCTCAGATCCTTACTAAAAACAACGTAGATGAAAGGATTGATGGCGGAGTTAATATTCGGCAGAGTATAGACAAATGCCACATTAATAACAAAAAATACACCGCTCAATTCAGGATTCTGTTGACTATTTAAACATGACCGGCACCATGTTTTGACCAACAGAATTATGAAAGTTGGTAACCAGCAAACAACAAAGGCGCCAACCACTATAGCTAGAGTTTTCGTGGCTTTAAGTTGCTGTTTGTACAAGGCTTGATGATTTTCATTGCTATTTGACACATGAGGCATAACGGGAACGGTTAGTCTCGAGATGGCGCGGAAGTGTTCCATGGCGATCTTGAAAATGTAACAGTAAGCGCACATTATCACCACGAGAGGAACGAAAAAACCAACAATTGCTGCAAACGTGTAATAATAAGGATCGGGCTTGTAGCAGCCGTTGTTGATGCCTACGAGCTTCCCAGCAAGGGGAGTCCAGTTGGTTAAACCAGAGGATGCCACGACTATCGAATAGATCCACACAGACGATAACATCAACCAAGAAGTCCTACAAGTCACTATTTGGTGATATCTCAGAGGATACTTGGTGGCTAAAAACCGATCGACGCTTATCAATGCTAGATTTCCTATCGAGGCACAGCAACAGAGTAAGTCTGCCCAAATCCAAAACAAGCAGGCAGATTCACTAAGGCACCACTGGGTGTTATGAATTGTTTGATGGATCCGAAATGGTAGCGAGAGGGTAGCAACCATTAAGTCTGAACAAGCCAGTGAAGCGACGAGGTAGCTAGTGAAAGTATGCAGATTGTTATTGAGAAATACCGTCAAGCAAACTGAGATGTTTCCTAAAAGTGTTATGATGGCTATGAAAATGAGAAAGCACGACTGGGCGACAAATGGCTTCATGGTCGGCTCTCGGCAATCCATTTGATTCATAGCCGTTGATGTGATGTTAGTAGCAGGAGCCATCGGCGTGCCTTGAGTTCTTCCGGAAAAAAATTATCGATACTATGGTTCTTCAAAACGAAATGTCATGATGCTAAATATCCACGTTTCAGGTCAAAATTCGAATATAACCACAAGCGAATTTCATTTTTGTCAAGGAGAATTTGAATCGATCAGCGTGTCAAACCTAAGTGTTTTAAAAGTGGCCAAGAATACAAGCTGAACTGATAACAGTTTAGAGGACGCTAAGCCAGTGTGGTTGCGAGTTTCTTTGTGTCCTTTGAAAAGACAGGTGGAAAGCAAATAAAGGCTCCCACTCACGCCATAGTAGGCGGAGTTCCTGCGACTCGTACCCATCCAAATTAAAACTTGAAATTAAACGGAAAAAGGAGGCATTAAAACAACAGACTGGTTCCGTAACGTGGAAGTTCCAGATCCTGTTACTCCACACACTTTCGGAATTTATCAAAATGAAATTTTTAACTTGATGCGATAGCACTTTACATTATGACATGGTTTCTATTTGTTCAGATGGTAACACACAAAATAACTTGAGACGGAACGCCATGGTATTATATTGAGTTCTCTTGGCGTCCTGTCACCACTTACGACAACGTAGTCAATCACTTTAGGGCAAGTTAATAACATGTTGTGTTTTAGCCTTTATACGACAACTATTATATTACAGAACAAAGACAGAATATCACAGAAGCTTTGAACAAAAACGCGACATGAAGATTAAAAATCAGTACCCGTATTAAAGGAGAACATGAAGGAGGAAATGAAAAGAATCTTAATAAAATTACATTTGTAAATAAAATTTTCAAAACCGAATCCAAAATGAAACCTCGTAATCGACGCTCGCACTCACTTCACAGCACAACAAAAAGAAAAAAAATTTAACAATAATGATATTGGTGATAGTCGCGTAACTAATTAATATTTTGGTGGGTAAAGTAAGAGTTAGCCAACGTTAATGACTGCATTTAGATTTCAAAAGATTTTACGTTTGTCAGTCAGCGTTGGCGTACATCACCAGCTATATTCACATCGACGGCAGACTTCCTTTTGTAAACAAAGAAACTCGGTCGATCCAAACCACGCCGAAAATAAAATAAAATAAAACAAAAACCCTCTCTTTTGTGATAAAAGTGTCTTGTCCGCAATTCGGACTCAGGAAATTCTCGCAAACCACAAACTGACTTTCCTCTTTTGAATCTTTTATTAGTCTGTACTAATACCCACGACTCTGGCCATGGCTTTAAAGACTACAAAAATTAAAAATTATTGGTGAGGAAGGGAAAACTTGACAGGTTTCTCTCAGTTTAGTTCACGTGATAACACTCGACTCGTATTCACGTACGTTTTGATCGCACTCGGTTTATAATTTTAAAATTTCAATCGAATCACTTTGTTGCTTCCATTTCCATCACTGAGTTGAGTGAGAACAGCAGTAAATGCGTTTTTTTTTATATCAAACATATATGAAATCATTTACTTTAAAATCTCAATACGTACAAATTACATAGGGTTCAAAATTCTAAATATTAAAACACAAAATGTGAAAGAAAAATTGTCGTATGTTTCCATTCCGAGAATCTTCACGTGAAAATAGGGAAAGGAACAATAAACTTCCGCCACCGTTCGTAGACAGTGAATAACCTCTTTAGTGCATAACCTGTACATGTCATTAACTTTCTCTGAAGTTCCAACAGCACTTAATTAAGATATACTAGCCCACGCTCAGCGGAGAGTGAAATCCTATTGCAGATAAAATACTTGAACTGCCCAAGTTATTCACGATATGAAATTTAGTTATTTGGCTTTTTCATTCAATTTTTTATTATTCAATATGATTTTTTACATTATAAGTTTTAAAGAAGCAAGCTTAAATTTTTTAAAGTATAATTTACACGAGACGTGTGGTAACGTGTGGTTATCATTGATGCGGTGGTGAAGCATGGTCCGCCGAATTGCGTCTGATTTCGTTTGCCTTTTGGCTGTTGCCATCGAACTACAGTCACCAAGTGAAGAGGAACTTAATTGCGCAATGATTTTAGCACAGTAATAGTGCCACCTAAAAAAACTTCATGAACATGAGCGAGTCTAGTGTAGTATCATTCACATCAGTTGCAGAAGTTGTGCATGGTGCAGGGCGACTGAATTGAAAGAACAGAATCGTAAACCACGCTATTTGGCTGCAGATTGTTTGCGGACTTTTTTCATTAACACAAAATATACCCTCCTGCAGTGTGGAGACTGATTGATCATAGGGAAATGGATAGCAAGAATGTAAATGATCCAGCTAGAATAACTTGAAGGCTTAAAGTCGATGAAACTCATATCATTAAACCAATAATCATCTGAGGTTCCAATTTACGGGCATTTGCATGGCTGCAAATACCTCCGGCATAAAATGTCATAATTTTTGTTTTCAAAAAACCACCCCTGACTTGGTGATAGTAAGAATGCTACTTATAGAGTGCTATAAAGGTGCTGGTTTTAGTTTCATGTGTAGTTTCAAATTCAGGGGTTTCCTTTCACGGACCTTTTTAGCCTCGCTCTCCAAAACGATCTGTTGGCCACACATTTTGACGTCAAGCTCGTTATCCCGCGTAGTCTGTCTCGCTCTAACAATTATTGTCTACTGGAAAGCGATTTTTTTATCTTTTACTTACCGTGTTTGCAGGGTACTCCACTAGTTTAGCTGCAGAATTCGCTTGTTGCAACTCTTTGGGCGAACGGTCTTTAAAGCATGGCGAAGATGTCAACAAAGACATCTTAGTCTCCCATTCCTGCTGATAACTCCTTTTTAAAACCTACAGACCACAGAGAAATGTTTTTGCGTGAACTTGGTAAAGCTCAATAATTATTGGTGAGAGAATGTAAAAATTGTAAGGGCAAGTGTATACCATATCAAAATCTGGTTTGTCTATCGTCAGGAACTCAACCGTCCCTTTGCATATGACGGTCGCTGCCCTTGTTATGTCGTGTAGCAGTGCCAGCTCTCCAAACGAGTCTCCAGCGAACATCTCTCTCACGATCTGAAATATAGCATCCATAATTTTATGACTGCAGTTCCAACAATTTCAAGATAACAAGGATATGCTACGCCTTCATGGCTTCCAAAGTTAACTTATGAAACTCTTTCATAAGAACCTTGATCCTTCTTAATGTGACTGAACAAATACTCATGTCAGTGCGTGCATTTCTATCTGCTGTCCATATTTATTAACATATGTTAATTTTGTGATAAATTCAAAAACTAGTTTCTACTTCAAAGACCTGTTTCATGCGGAGTCCTGTGATTTTATCTGTCTCTGCCACTTGAACAAATACAGTTCCCCTCAAGATGAAATACATGGACCTTCCTGGTTGGCCTGTGTCAAATAGAACAGCGATTTGTGACAGCCGATAAACTTCTGTAATTCTGCAGTCTAATTATTTTCAATCTTCATTATCAACTGAAAAGTGAGACTTTCTGGAGTCGTTGTCTACTGCTTAATTTCAACCAAGATAACTTTTGCGAACCGAAATGACTAGTAGTAAGTTTTCAGCCCCAGAATACACTGGGACACTCACCTTGTTTGACGATCACTCTTCCATCCTCAAACTGTTGAAAATATACAACTTTTGCGATCTCGCGTTTGATGAGTGGTGTGTAACGACTGAAACATTTTAGCTTATCCACAATGCCGAAGATAACCTGCGAAATCAAAGTGTCGATTCCAATCTATTAGTATCTACTGATACCTCTCAGCTAGGCTACATTGTATCTTGCGCCTTCATTTTTTCCTAATCTGGGTGAGTCATTTGTTCGGAGCGCGCAGTTTTGACATTGACTGAATTGTCCACCAATACATACAGTTCAACCGAAATGTTTATGGATGCCAACATATTCTACTAATACGATATTTTGCAATTTCCAGCTGACATACCATACACGAACATCGCACACAAAGGTGCACTATCATAAAATTTAAAATTTGTTTATATCCCTCGATTGTCATTTTTACAGAAGTGATCTTAACTTTTTAATCAATTTAGGACTTTTGATGTGCACGTTCCAGTCATTATGGGAAACACAAGCTCATTTGTCGAAGTTTCTCACAATTACTAATCACGTTCTCAACCTTTGCAATTTTTTTAAGGAAACACCTTACAATCTATCAAAGAAAGCAGACAATGGCATGAAATAAAATCCATAGGCAGTGGCATTTTCATAACGCATGGTGAAAGTGACTGAAGTAAGCTAAAAAAAACATAGGTTTTGGAATGTTTCCGATAAAATCAATTGTGGGACATATATTTTTGTTTGAGGCCTCAAAACTACTGTTTGATCGTGTTGTTTTATCTTAAATTACTGTTTCTGGAAAAATTATAGATCGGAAAAAGCACTGAAGATTAGTTAACCAAATACAGTATTTATTGGGCCTCGTTTAAAACATCTTAATTTTATCAAACAGGACGACATGGAGAATAGGGAGAAAATTAGTAAATCATAACCTCGCGCAGAGGTAAGATGCAAGAATTAAGACTATTCCTGTCAGTACCTTTATTTCCTCTTCTCTCCTTTGGCACGAGGGTTTGAACAGAATTTGTTTAGCCTTCTTGGATAAGCTGCTACTCAGGTGAATCGGAGACTTAAATGCTGAAAACAAATAGGAAGAAAGTTTGTATTTAGTCTGCGATGTTGTCCTCGGATCAGCATATTCCATGGGCTGCGAATTTTCAATACAGTATCTTTAATGAGCTAAGAAAATGACACGGTATTCATAGAACAACAGGTGAACAAAGACCAATGAAGACAAACACGAAAGTTTGATTACCACCGCTGTTGAAAGACAAAACCTTCTCGCTCTCTTGATTGATCTGGAACACTTTACTATGTTCATCGGCAATTTTTGATTGCAAAGCTCTCGTCCATCGACTTTGTGACTGGACGGAGCGAGCAAGGCGACGGAACCTTTCTAACGGAGACGGTTTAGACTGCTCTGTTTCCGTAGACATATCTGTACCTCTCTTAATGTTTGTGAATGTTAAGTGACAATTAGAGTTCTCCAAAAAAATCTGTACATATAACAGTGAGCTGCGCACTACGTCATAACTCAGTAAATGCGCGCGCACAATCATACTGAAATTCTAAAGCCCGCGCATGTATGACATCCTGGTTCAACTTATTTTTTAATTCTTATCAAATTCGGATTAAGCATTGAGGTGAAACCAATGGATAACTTACAGATGATATCTCAGGATACTATGTGTCTCCTGAGCGCTCCTTGCGCCAACTTCCTCAGTAGTAAATGCATTTTCAATTGTTGGTGTAGCTTCTTTATGCGTTTCTTTTCCAGCTACTGACGGCATCTCTCATTAAAGTTCGTCACAAAACTTTAGAATTCGATAATTAAGTTAAAATCATTCAAGGGAAACTTAGCAAACAATTCGGAATGAATCTGAAAGCCGGGTAAGTTTGTTATTCTGTCGATTTCGTTTTTGTTCGTTTTTTTCCCTATCATTATAAACACCAAAACCACATTTGTAGCTAAGACCTTACAACAGCGACTGACATGTATACACTTTACTCGTTCTTAAAGACCTGATTGAGTGACTGTTCATAAAATGGCCGCTCTGGCGTTTTTGAATAACTTGCTATGAAACTCACGTGGATAAAGGGGGTAAGTTTCTAAAGAAACTGTAGTGCTGCGTCGGTGGGAGAGCGAAGGGCTAACGCTCGAAGTGTTAGGTTTTTAAATCTTTACGGTGCCCAATTAAATTCACACGCTGTCGTGAACTAAAGAGTCCTTTTTTCTGTGGGATATTTTCCGGCTTTCTTGCGTTTTCCCACGATAGAACTGAATTGTAGTCACCGCCTGTTTTTCAAAGCAACAGCTCTAGAATGAAAGAAAACAAGACTGCAATGCATAAAAAAAAGTCTTCCATCACTGATGACCGAAAAACGAGCGTTGCCAAAAATCCCTTTCTTTTACTGGAATTTGACGAGGAAAATTACGACTCGAGTGCCGAACCAGTCTCGAGCGTCGACGAAATACCGGAAACATCTCTGACCGCACCAGTGCCGCCAAACCAGTCTAGAAGTGGCGGAGTTACTTTTAAAAAAGTTGCCAAGGCCATTACCAAACAAAGGAAATGGTCCACGGTACTGAAGGTGAGTTGCAAATCACGGCGTCTTAATCAGACTTCGCCTTACCAAGACTGGCGTATGCAGATATTCTTTAATTGGGCTGAAGCCAACAAAGAATTTATTTATCGGATCAACGCGATCCGACAGTTGTGGTTCCACCTAAACACTTTCTTTTGCCTATTTTTATAAAATACTTGGAGCCAGTTCCACAGTTAGCGAGACTAGTAGTAATCCTGCAATATCTGAATGCTAGGGTGTCTTTTTCTGCACACTGAGCTAAGTCAGGTAGTTAAAGGCACCTGACACCCAACTCACTGATAATGTACTTTAAAGTGATTCAATAGGAACATACCTGATGATATAATCACTCAAAAAAAAAAAAAATAATAATAATAATAATGGGATCAGTTATCAGTGGACATTCTACGAGCTGGCTCTTCATGTCCAATGTTTCCAGGTCGATTGGGAAACGATGTACATTTATGCTGAAAGTCGTGAAATGCGACTTAACTCGTGCAAAAATATAATTTGGTACATATTGCCGATGGCTGGTTTGTTCACAAAGTAAGGAGGTATGAGACAGCCATAATTTTTGGCGTGAATGTATTCATCACCAATCAACCCTTTTCTCAAACGCGTAGTTTCAGAAAAAGGAACCTTTTATTTTTATTAACAGAAGTGAGAAGAAACAAATCTAGAAATTAAATCGTTTTTGGGCAGGTTTTTTTAAAGCAATATATTTAAGTAGTCTCAGCGCTGTACGGCTCAATCGACCTAAATCACGTATGGTCTGATTTTCATGCTGACTTTCCCGTTACAGGAAGTACGTCAATCCGATGACCATACTCGTGCTCGAGGATTTGTTGCTAATCCCGAAGACGGAGAAGGACGTCTGAGTTTCAACGTTAATGGTAAGTTAGCTGGCCTGTAGTTAACAACATTTCAGGCTCAAATACCCCCACTTTCCAATACTACTCCAATTTCCTATATATACTAAGCGCCATGCGATTGGTCAGTGGCTATGATCTATTGGAGTACAAACTCTAGGATAACGTAATTTAAAATTGTTTTCATTTTTTTTTTGTCCAACATGACGCTCAAGTTTGAATATGTTTTTAAGATTTTCACCAAAGAAGGGAAGGCCTCGCAGAGAGTTAATTTTATGCTGTTTAAGCGCAAGGTATAATAGGAAACCGATATCCAAAGCCTGTTCGTGCTTTCAGAAATACCTGGACGGATACAAATCTCCGAACAAGAGGGAGGATCCATTTTAAAAACTATTTATTTCTCAAATCAGTGAAAAGTTGGTTTTTAATTTGCCATCAGTATTCTTTCCCTTTTTTATCTTAAAGCTTTTAAATCTCACGTCCAGTCTTGTGGCTTTTTATCACCGGCTGTGAAGGAAACACTCAGAGCTCTGTCCTGGAGTAGGACCGAAGAGGAAGTCGAAGTGGTCTTGCAAGTTGTGAAAAAGTTGAAATGCTTTGGCCGCTATCCTATGTACGTCAAAAGGGAACTAGCCAAAGTATTGTACTACGACATGTTTGAGAAAGGGAGGGTGGTCATAAAACAAGGTTAGTGTAAAGTGATTGACTCTCGTGGGGCACGGGGGAGGGAAGGAGGGTACTTATAGAAATTTTGTTCGGGGATCAGCGCTCCCCTTCTGCTTTAGTTCATAACCCTTTGTGTATACAGGGGGTAAGTTTCTAAAGAAACTGTGGTGCTGCGTCGGTGGGAGAGTATAACAGGGTAATTTAGTATTATCAGTTGAGTTGATAACATAAACTGGCCATCGTAAAGAGTTTCAATGCTGACGTTTCGAGCGTTAGCGCTTCCTCATCGCTTTGACGATTGCAAAAGCGTTGACACCTAACAACAGTTCGGCAGTAATGAACGATGAGAGCCAACGGCTTCATCGGTACACATTTACATGATAACCACAATTAGTTGCACGTGGTATATGACAGAAGCTACCCACGCTTTCCTGAAGGAAAAAAATTATCATAAACAACGACCATGAATAATGAATACCACTGATTATGTAACTGTGCAAACATTTTCCATAGATGCATTAGGTCTTATCATTCATTGATCGCGTTTTTTAGTTGTCAACGTATTTGCCATCGAGTGTATCGTAAAATTCTTCACGACAATCTCTCGTAAGCTTAGATGACACTCAGTGGAACCAGTTCCATCCTGGAGTATGTCATAATGCAAATGGAAGGCAAAAACAGGCATCGTTTGGGTTACGAACGGAGCGTCGGAAATTAACTTTTTCACTCAACTGAGCTTTCCTCCAAACAGACTCGATGGATTAGCATTTTGTTTGGCACCTGGTTATTCACTAACCCCTTTAATCCGTACTCGCTACTAGGTGCTCAGTTGAAAAACTCAGATTGACTGTTACTTAAATATTTCTTTCTTGCCTTGATTGACATCGCAAAAAATCATTTTCAATTTGTTCTCGTCTGTCGTAATCGAAATAATATAATAGTGTGTAGTTTGTGTTCTAAACATCAGTCAGATCTGCTTTTGAACTTAGTACGTTTAGACTAATAGCTTTGAACTAGACAGAAGTTAATTGTTTAAAAACGATGTACTGTACCCCCGCGTTTGTTCTTTAGGACACGTTGGTGTTTCTTTTTATTTTATTGTGTCCGGTTCAGTGATCGTGGAAAGAATGGAAGAAGACAAATTCACTGGTGAACAACATAAACAGGTCTGTCAAAGGAAACTTCTTAGTATCAAATTACCGGGATATATGCCCTCTCCCCCCCCCCCCCTCGTCACTTCCCCATCCCTCTGTTGTAGGCTCATACAATCCAAAAAGCTATTTCACTGACGAAGTCGTATTCCTCTGGTGACCCTCTTCCCACCCCTTAGTTGACTTAACACTCTAATGATGTCCCATTCTCCCTGCAGTATGACAAATTATTTTTAACTTCCTCATCAAACACTGGGAAAAGGGGAAAACCTTGGTTATACACGACTGAAGACCTGAGATCAAAGTCTGACCTCAAATTTTTATGACTAAAGGAGGTAATTTTTTTAAGAAACTTCGGTAATGCGCCGGTGGGGGGTGATGCAAGATACTTTGGTTTTATCAATTGAACTGAGTTGAGCGCTAGCAGCTTCGTCAGAGCGAATCGCCGGTTACAGACAGAGTACTTAACTCTGTGTGATATTCTTAGAAGCCGGATTTCTTGCTTAATTATGATTGAAATTATCCTAATAACAGGTCGTGGGAGAAATGGCAGAGGGAGATGCTTTCGGAGAGCTTGCTTTGCTTCATAACATAAGGAGAACAGCCACCATCATATGCAAAGAAAACTCGGAATTCCTGAGGGTTGACAAGCCTGACTTTGATGAGGTCAGCCAATTATCATAGCCTTTGTTTCTTGAATTAAGAAATTGAAAAAAGAAAATCAAACCACCACATCGGTTTCGTAAAAAAAAGTCAGCAAAGAGAACCAGAGATTACGAAATCACTTTTGTTACAATCGTGATCAACAGCTTTCATTATGATTTCATCCCTTCCTGTTTCTACCCATTCCTTTAAAGATAGGTTCACAAGCCGCCTGACGTAGGACAGAAGTATATTTATATAAAAAAAGTTTGACAACGGCCGAAAAAAATTTTTTGGCGTAGGTTTGGCACTTTTTTCAGGTAACTCATTGGCTTTGCTTTTGGTTTGTTTGTTTCCTCTTCAGGTCCTGAGAAACAGTCATCAGATCGAGTGGGAGAGAAGACTGTCCGTACTTAATTCTCAACCCATTCTCAAAGAGTGGGAAAAAACTGAAATCAGAAATACAGTTGCACATACAAAGATCAGAGAGTTTCCTCCAAATACGGTAGGTACTGCTATGTCAGCTGTGAGACCAGCCTCGCCTCAATGCATTTTGGCATACACTTGGGAACGAAGTACAAGGACGGGGGACTATTTACAAATACGAAGTATGAGGGACAATTGAAAGCAAAAGTAACACAATACCTTCTTCCCTTGCGCACCCACTGAGTTTTTAGCTGAGAGAATGGAGAGACATCTGTGTCAGAAGCAGCTTTAAGAGCGTGCTTGTGATTTGTAATTTGCACTTTGAGCGATATCCCAAAATGCGACCACGGATGTATAACTGACAGGCTACCAACAGATCACCAATTGGCCTTTGCAAGTCTGTTGACCGTTGGCCAACAGTCAACCGCTGGCCAACAGTCCACCGTTAAGCAGCCGACTTGTGATAGCCAATTGGTAACCTGTTGGTAAGCTGTCAGTTATATGTCGGTGGCCTGTTGGTTATCTGTTGGCTGATGGGTTTTTTCAAGGAGTTGTTCTCCACAATTACTCTACACAGAACATTGTTGATTTGTTATTTATTTCAGGTTATTCTGGGCGATATGGACGTACCTGCTGATGACGTGTACTTCATTCATTCTGGAAAATGTAGAGTAGTCAGAGAGATAACAATGATCAAGAAAGAATCATCCTCTGGTAAAATCCAGCTGAAGTTACCACCCATTAACTTTAATGAAAACAACATTGACAACAATGTAAAGGAACATGTAGTCAGAAAGTTTCTCAGTGTACATATGTTAAGCAAAGGAGACTTCTTTGGAGTAGGTGAGGATTTGAAGAAGACTTTTATCATCTCAGTTGGAAGGGTGAGTGAATTAGAGGCAGATGGAAATTCTATAGCATGGCTCAAAACTCTTTGTAAGCCGTTGCAAGATTAGGATATTTCTACTGGATTCATTCTGTGATGGGAAACAGAATGTCCAATCAACATGTAGGTCAGTTAAAAACCAATAAAACATATCCAAAGTTTAGTTTTAGTACCCTAGAAACCTTGTTCCTGTGTAAAAAAATGAATGTCAGAGTAAAATTGTGGCCTCAATGTCCAACAGGTACACTGTCTGCTGATTAGTCAACTCATCTTCATGAAAAAGGAGAGAGGAAAAAGCCTGGAGGCCATGAAACAGGGAATGAACCAAGCATTTCTAACTCACAAACAAGCATTCAAGACTTACACTGAGGATAGAGACTGGAAAATTTATAAAAAGAAACTTGTTGATGAAATTGTGAGGAGAAGAAAGAGGCCACATTCCACAACATATGACGATGTTCCTATTGTTGTAAGAGTTGAAAACAGCCACTACTTTGAAAAATAATTTAAATGAATGAAATGTTTATTGCAAATAGATGCATTTTTAATATATCAAAATTTTACCAAGGTGCACAAGTTTCAAAATTGCAAGTATATAACAAGAAAACAAGAAGAAATTAAATGAAATTGTTTCTGTTCTGGTTGCAATGCATTGAGCTTAACATCATGCATGGAACAAACACACAAGTGGACTTATAACCTCTGCTATATAAACCTCTTATCTGAATTTTTTAAAATAGGCATAACACTGCATCTCGAACAGTCCCTTGAAAACTGCCACTGCTCGAGAGTCCCATAGACTGTGTTATGAAACACTTCAAACAACTCCTCTACACAGGATTCCTAAACACAGGAACCCAAGCCACTTGTTCTTAGGAAGTGACTTCTCCTATGACAGCATGTTATTCCTGAATTTTCATGTTGTCTCCATCATTGCAACCCACCTAATTTTGTCTCCAGAAAATACATCCCTTTCTAAACATAAAAACAAAAACAAATATAAGAATGCAACAATATCATAACAAAGACTAGCCTTACATCCTGTTGGAAAAAGTACTCTTATTTGGATCTTGTATCTGATCATGTCTTCTATGGGTAAATTTCAATAGATAAATCCAACAAATGCCCTACAAAAACATTTAAATTCTGGGCAGCCCGGTTTGATAGAGTACTGTTTGAATTAAATCTAAAATGGAGAGTGATTTTACATGTGGCAAACGACTCCAAAAGATTAAAAAAAACTGATGACCAGTCACTAAGACAACATATTCGAGTTTATACACCATCTAACACTAGTGCCTATTATGAAGGACTAAATATTATTTTATTTTCAGGAAAACAAAAGCTCTGATTCCCTTTGGAATTCATCAGGCCTTTAAAGATATTTTGGCCCAAGCTCAGAACAAATAACAGATACAAATTTAAGGTTACAGTAACAATACACAACTGTACTTCATAATCCATACAATCCAAGAGTATCTTAGATAAACAATCTCCTGATTTCCGGTATAGTTCACAACCTCTTCATAAAATTGTTTAAAGCATTTAAGAGGCCGAGGGAAAATGAGGCATATCTTATCTCTATATATTTTATAGCAAGTTTTCAACTCAAACATTGTTGGTTTTTTGCGCTTTTCTGTTTATTCGGGATTCTGTACGTCTTCAGTGTGGGGAGAGACAACAGAGATCATGATTTAAAAAATCGAACATCTCTAGATTTCAGGTTTTAAGAGCTTGGAGTTTCTGCAAATGAGATGTTTTTTAGGTCACATCCTTTTATACGTCTCTTATACTAGCAGGCCCCATAATAAAAATCATCTCCTTCCACTAAAGAAGTTTTAAAAACGAACATTACCAACTGAGATTTTGGTGTCAAAATTACCTCGTACTGTTCCTTAATAACCTTGGCTTCCACCTCATCTTTTTGTTGTTCAAACTCTCTTCTTATGGATCTTCGAAAGAATTCGAAATCTGTATATCGTAGTGACCTTCCTTGCTTCAAAATTTGACGGTATAACTGCAGGACTTTCTGACTGGATGGAACTCCCACCGAACGCATGGTTTATTCCTTCGTATGGAAGGTTGAGTGTCTGTTATGAACCAGAGCCTCGTCAAAGCGATCAGCGGAGTTTGACCTGTGATTTGGAGAAAAACTGGTAACTAGTTTGTGGTTAACGAACGAGGGAAGTTAGAAAAAGGAATGCCGTCAGACGTTTTCTTTTGGGATAACACAAAAATAAAAGATCGCGGGATGGTACTGTAGATGATGTAATTATCATCCTTTCTAAAGAAGGCAATAAGATCTTTGGAAAGGGTCATGTCAAGGGAGCGTCACGGAAGAAAATGTTCTCCAGTGAGAGAGCGGATTCTTGACAGTAGTTCAAACGATGACTGGGAAACATTATTTGAGTCAAGTGCAACTGACAAAGGTACATGACTACAATTCATTTATCAGCTTTATTACCCTCTTGTTATTACATTTGAATTATATATAAGACTGTATCCAACGGCGATGCAATGACTCCATTTTGCCACTGCGAAAAGAACGTCCGATCAAGTTTGGTTTAAATCTTTAAAGCAAAACATGGATTTGAACAGGTCTGCTTGCCGATGTCCAGTCGGCAAGGTGGAGTTAGAAAAAAAAGAGAATCATCTCATTCATATTTGAAGGTTGATATTTAACTTCGTCGTATATTTTAAAAAGTAGAAAAACCTTTATTATGAAACGTTGCATGATAATTAAATGTAGTTTAAAATTCCATCCAAGTGAGATCATCGTCTTGTTTTTATCTCTGATGTTATAAGGCAGTGTTCAGTAAACAACATAACTCCAAATACTAAGGGCCACAGGAAAATCGTCATTATTTCATTAGGCACAATTGGTTATATATTGTTTTGTGAGGTTTTCGAAAGGAGAGGTTAGAGCAGAAAGCTTTTTTGAAATCACCACTCAGAGCATACATGTACAGTGTGTAACATTCCATGTACACTTATTGAAACAACTCCAAAATGCTTTTGTAAAATTTGAGTCCCAGATGTTTCATATTTTCTAGGGTTAATATGATCAGATCGTATTGTCAGCAGTTTTACATGAGGCATAATATTGTACATGTAACTTGGCATTAAGCTACTGCATGACCACAAAAGTTCATTTACCTGTAATAATTTCTAAGATTGCTACTTGACTTGAAATTGTTTGACCAGGTGGTAGTTCCACAGAAAACCTGTAATTATAAAGAGGTATAAAAATTCCCAAAAAGGCTTCAAACCACTAAGTTGTTTAATCTCAACATTATTTCAGTACATGTGCATCTGTTCTCACTTTCTTATTACCACAAGTACGTGAATTTGTATACAGCTTGTGTTTATCTTTTGTTATTCATCAGATCACATTTACTAGAAGGTTATGCTGTATAATTTGACAATGATATCATTCCTTATGTTGTTTGTACACAGTATCTTAAACCAACCTCCAGGGCAAAATGTCTGTAATATTATGTGGAAAAATTTGGTAAATATAAATTTTTTACCAAATTGATGTCAGTGATAAACTAAATTATGTTGTCTGACAAAATGTCTGTAATGTTATGTGAAAAATCTAGTAAATATAAATTTTTTACCAAATTAATGTCAGTGATAAACTAAATGATTTTGTAAAATGCAAAATGAAGACTGCCAACTTACCAGCTTATGTCCCTAATGTCTTTTGGATACTTTATCATACTGTTATAAATTATAGATGGTCAATGACAATCCTGTCTATGCCATATTGATGACTCTTCTCAGGCGAAGTTTTAGTGCTGAATGATTTTTTTAATCAAGATTGAATGTCAAAAGAGCCATCTATTGGCTAAGACTTCAAACAAATACATTCATGGGTTGATGAAAAAATTTTGGTCCAGTTCATATAATTTGGATTCTTTTTCTCTTTATAATAATATTGTATTATATTGGAGCAGGATAGTTGGAAAAAGAAACTTTTTTGTTACAACTTGAATTACTCCACCTGACAAGTATTAAATTACAGTGTGTAACATTTTAAAATATTTGAGAGAGCAGTGATCAATGGCAAATATGGATTTTTTTTTTCAAATTTTTCATTGGCAGGGAAAACTCAAACCTCTAAAGCAGATCTTGATCTTTACAATTTTGAGGAACCTACAGCGCAGCTGAGTCGTTATGTCTTGACAAGTCCAAGGTCTCTGGAGGTGAGATAATGTCACATGACACAAACTTGAGATTTTTGTTATCTCTTGTTGGAAATTACCGGCCTCTGTGTTGTTTATGTGTATCCAGACCCTTGCCTTCTTTCCTAACCACAGGCTTATTTAATTGTTGAGCTGTTTTCAAATGAGTGTGGTGTCCATGGGTTAATCAATGGGCAGGTGTAAATTGTTCTAATGATACTTAATTATGGTTGAATGTTACCTGTGGCAAGACAGTGCAAGTTTATTGGTATCATGAGCACAATGTATTTCAAGTTGTGATTTTAGACTGTGATTAACAGTAACTCTGTTACCATTTTTGTCTACTTGTGTCTCTATCTTAAAATTGCATGATATCCTCAATGAATTTGCAAATATGATTCTCCCAAAATTTCAGAAAGATGATGAAAAAGAAATAATGAACCCAACTCAAAATTTATTTTATTATATAGTTATAGTTACTGTATTTTGTCAGTGATAAAGGTCCTGTGTACTAGACAGTATCTAACTTTTTTATCATATTATTCAAATATATGCCAAAATGATTAATACTAAATAATTTTTTCTTTGTTTTAGGCATGTGGAAGGTTTGGAATAAAGGTATCTTGTGCTTGAAGCAAAATTGATTTAATGAAATTACAATTGTTACCTCTATTTATATTCCCTTTTACATATACTGTAATTTCCGGTCATTTACCCACACGGCCGATTACCCACACCGGCTGATTATTGCATACGGTGAAAAAAAAAGTCAACAGATTACCCGCATGGGTGGATAACCCGCACGTTATGTTATTGAACTTTTTGGTGGCAAAAACGTGACATTAAGGTGATACATTCCAGTCTTAAAAGTTGTCTAATCTAACTTTCGAAACATAACCCACACCTCCCTATTGCCCGCAGTGGCGTGCATTTAATGCAAAATCAACAGATTACCAGCGGGTAAACGGCTGGAAATTATGGTATGTCCAAAAATGTTGATACAACACAACTGAATTTATTAAATTCCTCTCTTTTATTTCTAAGTAATTACTTGCTATATTATTTAGCCTGTAGAACTGTTACACAAGTCACTGGAGGAGTTTGTTGAGGAATTCAGATCTTTGTATGATACTGACTACCCACTGCATGCTGTGCAACAAGTGTTCCAGGAACATGAACGACAAAGACTTAGTATGTTTAATACTTGTGATAATAGTGCACAGGTTATATGAAACTTGAGAAAAAATAGAGTCTAATGTTTATATTTATTTAAATATTTATATTTATTTGAATGTTTCTAATGTTTATATTTAACATTTTTTTACATTTTCATCTGATCCTCATTCTGACTTTAAAAGCAAAGATGACATACCCTATGTTTTGTATGGTTGATATAAAGTTTGCAAAAGTGTATTTGTATGTCAGATAATGCAGAAGAGACAAAGTTATAATTATTGTCATTGAAACTCAAATTGCATTGTACTTGTACAGGTGAAATAAAATTATAGAACTGACTTGTTATAGCAAATGTAAATGTTCAAAAGAAAAAAATTTCAAAGCATTAGAAGCAGAACTCTTAGGGACATGAAAGGCAAATTTCAAACAAGTTCATATATCATATAAGGTCAAGAAAGGTATTACATATTGTATACAATCAATGTGGATGGAAATATTTATAAATTGTGTATGTTGCCAATGTACTCATTTTTTTTTCTAGATCAAGAAATATTATTGTGGAGTTTGAGGAATCCAAAATGCTCTTGATAATGTTTTTCTTGATTAGTACATGTAAATGATCACCAGTCCAGAGAGTCTTACTAAAAATTTGACCTGAAAGACACAGTTACAATTGAATACACTAGTTAATGTCAAAATTCAGCCATGAAATATAACTCTGTGAGCTCAGTATGTGGATTGACAATGTTACTGGTTCATTTTTTTGTGTGTCCTGATAGGAAAATTAAAGCTTTGCAGAGAGGAAAGGGAAAGGATAATTAGGGAGAGAAGTTCAGAGTCTGTCATGAGCAGTCAAGATAGACATTTCACATCAAGGTCACTAAGCCCTGGTGAGAGGCTTTCTTATATAATGAGTTAGTTTTTTTTAATAGCATGCTGACACGACTTAACAGGTATGAAAAAAAATGGAGGCCTTATGATGCCTGCTTGTACATTAAGGAGGAACAAATATTGCCAGGAAGTTTAACCTCTGTTTAAATTTCCACGCCAACCCACCCTAAAGTTATGACAATCTAATTAACTAAAGACAGACAGAGTAATAATTTTAAAGATAATTAAAAATAATCATAACATTATAATGATGAGTTCATTATTTCACTTTTTGCATTTTATTTTTTAAAATAAAGATTTTATTTTGGTTCTCTGATCCTTGTGCCGCAATTGTAGTGCTTGATATTGGATTTATTAACCCTTTAACTCCCAGATCAAATTTTTAGTTATCCTTACTGTCAACCATACAACTCTTATGTTAGTTTAGAGAATTTGGTATTGGATCAACTAATTATCCCCAAATGGATATTTTTCTTTTTTCTCATCATAATCACTTATCTGGTTAATATTGCATAAAATATTGTGAGGAGAAATTCTGTCTTGGTCACACATGGGAGTTAAAGGGTTAAAAGCATAATTTTCTTTGTAAGGGGTATTGATTGCTTTTATCAGAAAACAAACCAGACAACAGATGGAGAAAATCTTATGAGGAAAAAGGGCAAAATGGAAGGACACCCTCTCCTGTTGAAAGACAGAAGTATCACAGGTTTGAACTGTTTCATTACATGCACACCTACAGCTACTGTACATGTGGTGCTCAAGTTAATATTTATCAATTTAGAGATTGAGTGTGTGCTTATGTATATTATGGTAATAGAGGATGTTATAATTTTCTGCTGGACAACCACTGTACTAAGAAGATAAGGTGCATGTGGTCCTAAAGTGTTGCTGTAAGTTGTCACAATTGTCACAAATTCAATTACCAAATGTACCACAATGAAAATAGGCTTGTTATGTTTCTATACATTCCAGACTTGTCACCATAAAATAAGTTCTTGTTTAATGTTATGATCAAATGAAGAAAGTGAATTTAAAAGAAAGCAAAGAGAAACATCAGTACAACATAAGTACAGTGGAAGAAGAGGCAGAAAGATGATATTATATTAAAAGAAATTGAAAGACAAACTTAGCAGGTTCTAACTGAGGTTTGGACAAAAACAGTGTAAGTTGATGATTAGGATTTCAGGTGGAAGATGCATATTTTCAAAATGAACTCAATTGCTCAATTTTAGATCTAAAAGCACAGTTTTTATAATTTGTAACATTAAATTGATACATTTAGTATTTTGTTTTAGAGGTTCAAGTCCACTGGATGGAAGAGGAAAGGAAAATATGTACACGATGGACAGTAAAGCCTTGAAACCTCCAACAGGGCACACAAACTACAGGTTAGTAATTTGGTGTTTTCTTATATGTGGTGTATTCATAAACCAGGCAAGGCAGCAAGTTTGATGTTGTTACTACTTGTGCCTATTTTATTTAATGTGTGGTACTGTATGAGTGTTACTGTTTGGTTTTCTTGTTAGAAATGAATAGTTGAGTAGATACCCCATGCTGCTGATGCCTTCTTTGTCAAAGCCAAGAAAATAAATAGATTTAGAACAGCAATTACACCAAAGGCAGAGAGAAGATTGTAGTTTTACTGTCTGCCTTAAATTTCCACTGCTGTGGAAATGAGCTATTTTGACCTTTGAACCTTTAAGAGGGACTTACATCTAATTTCTTTTAACAATATTACTAATGAATCTAACATGTTAAAGCTTACTAGTACAAAAGAGATGATGAGAAATTAAAGGAGCTCTTGATTGTTAAACAAATTCTCCTTGTTAGCACATTAAGAAATTTATAGAAAACAATATGGAGAATATGGATACTGATGTTAGGGTGTAAAGAGTAAGGCCACATATTAACCCTTTAACTCCCAGAAGTGATTAACATAAACTTCTCCCTACAATATCCATACATTATTTAGCAAACAGGTAATGAGAATATTCAAACTTATCAGGTAGAAGCTGCTATCTTGATATAGCACCAAGTTCTCATAGCTAATTTGCAAGGAGATGTGTAGCAGCTAGAGGGGAGAATTAACAATCAGATCTTGGAAGCTAAAGGGTTAATTTCAAATTTAATTTTTGAACAATCTCTCTGCTGCGGACATACCAGTCAGCTGATTGCATAAAGGAGTTGATTTAATGAATATTGTCTAATTTATTTGTTGGATTTCCAGTGTATTTAGGGATCAGATGTAAAGAAGCGAAATCACATGTTCCTGTTTATAGCAAACCTGGCCCTAAATCTATCTGTTACTGACTAAATAAACTATTAATAGCTAAGTGTGGTCTATCTGATTCAATTCTTTACAGGAGTCAGTATACTTCAAGTAAAAAGAGTCAAAGTCCTGTAAGCCCCAAAGGCATTAGTATGAATTACCCTGAGAGCTCTGACTCGGAGACTGGGGCAGACAGCAAGAGGACGTGGTCTGCAAGCGGTTATTATTCAAATGAACAGTCACCCAGAACAAGAAAGAAGCCCTCGTCTGCAGGATCCTCTAGAAAAAGAAACACTTCGCTCATCAAGAGAACAGCTTCTATGGATAGCATCGACCTGTTACGTTCGGTGCCACTTGCGTCAAGTGGAAAGGGTTTGTCCGAAAAGGTAGCCACGATTTTTATACTGCTAAATTTAGATCAAGCTAATAGGCCATTGTAGACATTGCCAAGCTTCTTTTTCATAACCAAGGCACTGCTTTATTATTCTCATTTGTTAGTAACACACATTTTCCAGTTTTTGCAGTTACCCTTATTTTGAAAGTGAGAGTTCTGGTAGCTCAAGAACAGCCTGTTGTTAATGACTACATATAGTTCACTGTAACTGTTTGTTTTCATTAATTTGACATGTTTATAACACTTGATTTTTTGTGAAGGATCAACGCATTGTTAATTTAATGATGTCCAGACACGAAGAAGAAGAGAGAGCCCGCAAAGAACGATTGATGTTGGAGTTGGAGTGGGACGAACAAAGAAAAATAGAAGAACAAATGAAAAAAGCTCGACAGCAACAGAGACAAGCTGAAATATGGGACACATATAAGACTAAAGATTCCAAACAGGTCTCAGGAATTCACTGTACAATGTTTCCTACAAAAACAATGACACTATTTGTCGAGTGATCTTTTGTGTCGACATTTTTAGCACAAATTTCCCTAAATGTGAATGTGACCATCTTCCTTTAGACAAAAATTACGCTAAACGGTTTTTCTTTTCACAATTCTAGTTTGAAGTGCGAGCAAGAAGAATGAGAAATGAGCAGAGGTTGAAAAAAGATAAACTTGAGATTCTGTTGTCAAAGGACAGCGCTTGGCAGAAGGAGAAAAGAAAACAGGAACAAATAAGGGTCAGTGTCGACAACCAACCCACATTTTACACAGATGTTTTAGCGATGTTACATGGGTATACTATACCGAAGAAAGAGGTTCTGCAAAGATGGAATCAGACTGCTGCTCACATTTCTTACCAATTTAAATATCTTTTTCCAGAATTTTAAAGCGAGGTTTTTAAGGGGAAGTGGAAGTCTCAGTTCAGAATTTAGGAGCAGGTGCAACGTTCATGTACATGGGGAAAAATATCAGTCGACTGTTGGTGAAGTGGACCACTCTCAACCCACAATTTCTCTGACGAAGGGCTAACCCACGAAACACCAACTTTAAGAAGCCTTTACGATAGCCACTTCACATTATCAACTTAGTTTATCAGTCAAATTATCTTGTATACCCCCAACAGCGCCACAGTTTCTTTTTTCGAAACTTACCCCTTTCTCGAAGCGTTTGCCTTATTTCAAGATTCCATGCCATTTTCTGATGTGTGTTGAAAACAAACTATGATCTTTGGTCTCGAAAACTCGTCTCATCAGAATTAGAATAAGAATTAAAACAAGGCGTGACTTGTTACTTCTTGCACTACTGGCATTTTCTTGTCTTCACTTGAACCCTTTAAACCTTAGGAGTGACTGGTATCTAATTTCTCCTCACTGTATCACCTCTGAATCAAACATAAAGGTCATGAGAATAAAGAAAATGATCGCTAATCAAAGAAGCTCTTGATTGTTTGACAAACTCTCCTTGTTAATACCTTAAGAAAAGTGAAGAGAACAGTGAGGAGAATACACATACTGATATTAGGCTGTAGACGGTTATTAAAGCCTCATTGGTTCCTTGCAATATTTTCCTTGTCCTGATTGTTATTTATGATTATCTTGGTTTTGGTTTTACGATACTCGCTGGAAATGCATAGTAAAGGTTTCCCAGTCATGTATTGATTCAATTTTTTAAAACTCCAGGGTACAAAAATGCTGGCCAAGAAAATCAAAGAAACCGAGAAAAAACAGAAGCAGGTAAAGATAAGAGCCATTATGTAACTGTACAAATCTAATGACTATCTTCAGTCAACATTCCTAATCCACATATTTTTACATTTATTCATTTCTTTGATATGTCATTGTTATAACAGGAAGAAAATCTCTGGCAGAAAGAAAGGGAAGACGAACTACATCGCAACATGACCCAACTTAATCTTTTAGACAGACACCAAACTGCTGTTGAGAAGAGAGATCGTTTATCTGCTCAAGAACATATGGTACGTTGCACGAGCACCCACATGTTAACTACTTCAAGAAGTTCCACAATACCGTATTTTCAATTCATTTATCTCCTTGACATGACTAACGGAAAACTGTCATTTGCCACATGAATATTTTTGACCGTTTCCAAACACCGAAGTGAAAGGGGTGTTTTCATGGACAGTGTACTTTCTCAACGCGAGAGTGTCTTTGATCGGGAGAACCATCATCTGCTTACACTTGATTTGCTTAACTTTTGTACGACAGAAACTTCAAAGTCGAAATCACAGTGCGAAGACCAGACACGCTAGTACGAGAAAACAGTTCATTCAACAGTTAAGGTCAGTGGCAGTACACATCACAAACAAGGCAATTGGTAAAATTGTCTTGCTAAGCTAACAGTTATAACAACTGCAATGTAACCTGCGCCAACTCATGAAATGGCTTGCGTTGCTGGTGCAATGTAGTTTTGTACCATATCATCAAATTCTTTGTGTTCTTCTTGCGGCCCGTGCGACGATCACAAGGTGTTGATGACAGTTTTTAAGAGAAGATTAAAAGGAAGAAAATTACAACTCGATCGTTTTAAGGGAATGTTTTTCGAGAGGTTGCCCGTGTTGCTGTCATATCAGAATGCCGCCTCTAAGTGTCATCATTCGCTCTGACGAAGGGCTAACGCTCGAAACGTCAGCTTTGAAATTCTTTAGGGTGGCCAATTTACATTTTCAACTCCGGTGATAAAACCAAATTATCTACATTTTCATCTTGTTACTGATTCACAGCCAAGAAGAAGAGAATCTAAAACACGAAGTGGCAATTAAACATCAAAACGCTGTGATGAATTACCAGAGACAACTAACTCGAAAAGATAACCAGATGGCGTTAAACAGGTAAATACATGCAGTAGATATTATGCTAAACCTTCTACACCCTAATATCAATATGCAATATGCTGACAAGGAGAAAAACTGCCGAATGGAATTTTTCATTTGGGCGTGGCATTACTGATTTATATGTATACAAATGGACTTTTGGTTTTAAGGATAAAGAGAGAGGAGCGGATTGAAAGGCAGCAGGAACAGTTGAGGAGGAAGGCGAATGACATGGATGAATGGAGGAGAGAACTCACAGTTTTCAGGGGAGAGGTCAGGCTACCGTTTTATGTTTAGAAGTGACATTTTTGGTTGATTTCATTCTGCTTATTAGTTTTATAACTGTTCTCTTAACGGTCAGTTTGGAGTCCAGGGTGAAGCTTCACTCTTTAACTCCCAGATCAAATGTGTAATCCTTTCTACTGTCAACCATACAATTCTTATGTTAGTTCAGAGAATTTTGCATTAGATCAACTAATTATCCTCAAATTAATGTTTCTTTATTCTCATCACTTATCTGGTTGATATTGTATTGATATTGTAAGGAGAAATTCTGTCTTGGTCACTCATGGGAGTTAAAGGGTTAACAGGATAAGACGTTGACTGAAATATTGTTCGCCATAGGACACACTATGTATTTCAGATACTAATGTAAGTTAATTAACGTAACATACTTTGTTTGTTTTGTAGAAAGACAAGCAAGCTGAAGGCACAGCCAAAATGGTAATAGCATCCAAACAGCACAGAGTTAAATCACAACTTGCCGCAGAGAAAGACGAACATCAACAAAATCTAGTAAGGTAATATGACGTCAAAGAAAATATCTGTTTTGGGATATCTGCGAAAAACGTCCCATTTATACAATTTTTTGTTTCCATATCAAGATGTCTCTGATAATATTCCTTTTTGAACCTAAAAGTTGCTTTCCCAAGTGATTGCCGAAACATATTTTCCCTCACGCTGTGTTTGCACTAATTTCCCGATTTGTTGATGTACAATGAAGATATAGTTATCGGATAAACTGTGCCTGCATTTCAGTATTCACTAGGGGCGTAGGAAACGTTTTTAGCTTTATAAAGAAACATACACTTCCTCTTAATTGAAGACGAGTTTTCGCGAAACCATTTCTTGCTTTCTCAAAGACTGTCTAAATTCGATGTAATAAGGTTCAAACATTTTGCAGAGTAAAACAAGCTCTTGAAGAAAGGAGAAGGGAAATTCAAGAAGATATTGAAGTTAAAGATGAGCGAAGTAGAATGGTTAATGCAGAAAAAGAGGAAATCCGGAGACTGGTGAGTTTTGCCAATAGCTTTGCTCTATTTTCCTTGTAATTTTTCTGTGAAATCTTTGACAATATTCTGACTTTTCTCTAATAATTATGTCGTAATGTCATTTTTAGAACCGTGATGCAGCTCGAACTTCTCAGGCCGTGAGGGACTTGATCAGAGAACAGACGCTTAGAAGGTAAAAACATTTGCGGTCGAGTATTCTGAGCCCTCCTTCGAGGCATGCAAGCATTGTTAGCTTTTTGTACAATACGGGAGCAAATCACCATTCTATTGAATAGATTAAGAAGGACATATACGGCTAACGCCAACAGCAAAATTTACCTCTGATTTCACTAACTTTTCTGCTAATTCCCAAGCAACACCATCGGAAAAATTTATTAATACTTATTTTTTACAAAAACTTCATCTATTTTCACAACGCTTTACAAACAACCAGAAGGCAGACATGTTCTTTATGTACATTCTCGCATTCGCGTTAAGGCGGTGTTACACTGACCTACTGACTTGCACTCGACCTACTTATACCACAGGACGATTACAACCGGCAGTAAGGAAGCAGTGATTCTTTACTATGTGGTGCAATCGAATACTAGTTTACATATAAGAGTATATCTTAACTATAGAAGAATAGAAGAAGTGGAAATACTGCTGATCATTGAAACAACTGATCATTGAATTGTTGTTATTCTTACTAGTTCCTTTGACAGAATGGCAGAGGCTGCTCAACACCAAGCTCTTGTAGGGCGTGGCCCACAGACAGGACATAAAAATAAATCTACTTTGAAACTGGGTTAATTAACTAACATATGAATTCGGGAGTGACTGCTAGTGATTATGTTTGTAAGCGTAATTGGAAATTGTCAAAATATCAATCAATCCTTTGTAATAACGACAAACGAATGTGAACAAGTAATTCCTCAGTTTTAATAAATTATTTATTTTATCTGCACAAACACATCATGCGTAGTTTAGGGCGTAGGCCATTTTGTAGCTCGTATCCAGAATCAAAACTTACCTTGGTGCATGTTAGATGTGCATTTAAACCAAGTAAGAATTTTTTCTCAACTAAGTAGGGTACGAAATTTCTCAAGAGAAAACTGAACGCTAGGCCCCTCTCCGGTGTATATAAGTCATGTACGTTCGCCTGAGGACATACCTCACTGAGGTTAAATTCACAATGTTTATCACTGATGAAAATAAAACTTGCACAAATGTTGATTTTGTTGCTTATGAAGCGAACTTTTCTATCGAATTCTTCATTATTTTGAATACTAAGCTCTCGGCTACGCGTGTAGCCTTTTTCCCAATGAAATTGGATGTGACTTTACAGTTAAGGTGGTCTGGTGAACCAGTGGCCAGCGGCGTTCAAGTCTCGATCTGGTTTAATTGTGTCAAACGGAAGGTAAGTGTACTTCCTTCCATTCCAGTCAAGCGTAGGATTATGGACTCCAGTGGCCAACTGAAGTATGCCTGCTCTGTTCCTTTCTTAAACCGTGTGATTTTGCTGGTGAGAATCACCAGCTTTTTCATGCCAATGATCGAGATTGTAGTAATAATCTTTCTGAACAAATCAGTACATTACTGATGTGAATTGAGATTCGAGTTATCTCAGTTTTTACGATGTTAAAAGCTTCTCAGTCCTCACAGAAAATCAGTACATTACTGATGTGAATTGAGATTCGAGTTATCTCAGTTTTTACGATGTTAAAAGCTTCTCAGTCCTCACAGAAAATGGGGAACACCATCTCATTTACCCTCTTTTTATGAATCTGGTCTGTCGGGTGTACAAGGAGTTAGTGGAGTGGTTCGGTTGGTCGAACTGCCTTGATATCAACTGATCGGTGCAGATCTTGGAAATATTATGAAACTCTCTTCACATGTAATGTGCAGATAAGATAACCGCGAACAGCATTTATCAGCTCTTTTGCCACATGCTTGACTGAACTCCTCGCCTCGAGCTCGCCATAATAGGGCCAGGCTTTAGGGGGTATGTACCACTACGAAGGGCTGGGTTTTCAAGCACTCAAGTCAGAGGTTAAAATAAACGAGTCTTAGACAAGGATGAAGGTTCTTTACAACAAAGGTTCTAAAGCATATACCATAATCTTGTTGTTCCACTGTTCTCCTTAGCACCTCGTTATAGTTCAGCAACGATGGCAATGTTCCCTGGAAATAGAAGGTCTTGGCCAAGCCAGGGTTTGTTTTAAGAACAGGATTGCAAATTGCATTTGAATTTTTAGACTAGCGTAGTGCTGATATACGCTTTTGGTGTTTCGGACATTCAGTGATACAAACCAATCCAAAGATTCATAAAGGCGGGCTCGCGGGTTTGATAAAAAGCCGTTACGTATTTCCCTAGAAGCGTTCAGAGGTTTCTCAGAGAATGGCTAAAGAAGCTGTGGCAAATCCCCAGTTTGTCGATCAAACATGAACAATAATTCATTCTCTTGTTAACAAACATGGTTTTCCCCTCTATCTTTTACGTAAAAATGAAATCACATCTTTAGTCTAACAGGAACGACTCGGAAAGACAAATCGAAAATAAACATACTCTTTACTGATAAAATTGAAAGACTACAAAACTTATAGATGCTAACCGCGCATAATATGGCACGGTGGCAGTAATGTCATCGTCAAACTTCGTCAGAAAATTGATCCTGTACAGATTTGTAAAAAACCAAGTGCGACCGCATAATTATCTCTCCCGGATCCCTGATGGGGTGTGGGTCAGTACCATTAAACCAACCAAAATACTTGACTTCGTTTCTATAATCTCCAAAACGAACTTGTTCTGTGATATCCACTACCCAGGGCACCACGTCCATTCCACAGCACCACCCATCCCTTCCATAAAGCCATGTACCATGCTCGTTTGGCACCGCCCCATCCTTGACTCGGTTGGCACAGCCCATTGCTGTAGCTGCGTTTTTAAATACTTGTACATTTGAATGTCCGTTTACAATGAAATGATGAGATGTGACACAGAACTCCGCACAACCATTGTTGTCACTGCCATGGCCACTAATGGTGGCCACAAGTTTAACTTGAGTGGTCTCAGGTGGAATTCTAACGATGCGAGTGTGATATTTTTTGTTGTAGTTCTTATCAAACTTGCCACCTCTGAATAATTTGATTATCTTGAAGGGAACATTGTATTGATCCTCTTGTCGTGCACTGTACGCTTGTGTTGAGACTGGAGACATAACAATGAATTTCAGTCAATTTCAACCCTTTTCATGACCTTGAGTTATTATAAACATGTCTGCGTCCTTCGTCTAAACATAATCGCTCACAAAATGCGAACCGCATCCCGTTTCCTAAATATTTTGTAACATTCCAAACCATATTCTCAGAAATTTTTAAGATTCTTGGGATAATTTAGGGAGAAAGAATCAAGCTCTTATGAGAAATATCGGCAAAAAGAAGTGCGTTGGTGGGAGCTCAAAAAGGAGCTCCAAGTTTGTGAAACGATTACGCCTTCATATGCAGTTCCCGTATTCAGGTTGAAATCCTTATGGGGGAATCCGAGTTTTTCAATGTCCCAAGCCAATAAAAATTTCTGTAAGATCTTGGACGACCGATCCAAATTCACTATCTTCCTCACTATGCCTCCTCAGAGAACGCTTTTGACACTTCTGATGCTCACAGCACGCAAGGAACTTGTTTCATATGAACTTAATATAGGGCCTGGCACGAGAACGAGTTCTCTGTAACTCGGTGTTTAGAGGCCTGAGCCTGAAGTTCGAAACCTCTTGACACTCAAATTTTTCTCTATGTGTAACACTTGAGACTAACGGTCCTGTCGCGTATATGACAGCTGTTCTCTCACCAGTGATTCCAAATGTACTAAATTTTCAGTGAAAATCTATAAAGCTGCAGTAATTTGCAAAAGCACTTGCCAGCAAGAGGCGAAGGTTGAGGCCCACCTTTGATATTCATACTTACATCTAACATGATCAGACAGCCTGATATCAAGAGAAGGCTTCCAAGCTCGCTCCCAGAAAGGATGTTTCATTTGCAAAGTACAGGTTTCAGATGTAAACAGAGGTAATAAAGGTGTGATGTTTGTCAACCAACGTCCTACAGACCTACAAAAGCATAGCAAGGTAAAACATCACTGACAGTGCTTCAACTTACAAGAAGCACCTTGAGGTTTAGCTCTGAATGCTATCAAAAGCTAAACTTCAAGGTGCTTTTAAATGGTTATAGGCTTTTGGTACAATACAAGTTGTTATCATAATTCATGAGTTTCATTTTCACGCCAGATACTGTTTCTTAAGAACTCAAGAAGGAAGTGAAATTAGAAACAAGATTTTTGCGCATCTCACCTCCTGTAAGGTGTTATCCAGCGGCCCAACTCCTCCCCACACAGTGGACTGGTTTTATCACAACAAACAGTGAGGTGGACAACATGATCCCAATGAGGACATGAGTAGTCACTTTTACCAGGGCAGTACAAGGACATGTCCAGTTCTACATTTCTGTACATCTGTAATTCTACAGGAAAATGGAAGAAATTCAGGATGGGTTAAAAAAATATATTATACATTAGACTTCCTATGAAAAATCTGATTGGTTAAGAGCATTCAGTCCATACACAATAGCATGTGAAGTTGACATGGTAACCCAACACTTGTAGTGTATAATGCATTTATCATATACGATACAGCATTTATCATGTCAAGTTCAAAGTTTGCCTAGTTTCCAAGTCCCTCATCTGTGAAGTGTTAATAAAAATTTGCAGACTTAGTGAGAAGAGTCTTCTTTTTGAGATTGTTTAAAAAAATGTATAACAAAACAATTGTTGAGTTCACTTTGCATGATATCATAAATTATCAGATCTTGGTTTTGATTAGTTTTAATATCATGCTCAACCTCATTCAGTCCTTGTTTAATACTACAAAAACCCCTCACTTTTTCCAGGTTAATGTTATCAATTTATGATTGAAGAGCCCACGAAATTAAAACAAATATTTGGCTTATTTCAAACTCTTTTCAAATAAGATAGGAATGGTATGTTTCCTTTTGAAAGATGTTCTAGCCATCTCATTAGGGGTGTGCAAGGTTGGAGTATTATGCACAAGAAACAAGTAACAACTTTATAAATTTTTTCACTCAAAGGTCACTAACAAAACCTACAACTACATCTCTGAAGAGAGTCCCACTGTGTTCTTCACACTTGGTGTAAAGCAAAATACTGGTTAGGTATTTCAGAAATAGCAGCAACTGACCTTCAAGTGGTGGAAGACTTATATTTCTCACTGCACCAGTCTTTCCTTCCATTAGTGTATGGTTAAACACATGGATTATCTTTGCACTGCCAGTCAAGTTGTGGACTAAGTCTGTTTTGTAATTAAACCTAATGGAACAAGAGATGAATTTAAAAATTATTTAAATTAAACATCTCATGAAACTTTTCATTTTAAAAGGGCTCATCCCCTTTCTGACTGGGAAAATAAATTTATACCCATTTTTCCCCAAAAGATGCCAGTGATACAAGTATACCTTCAAATTGTGAATACTTAAGTACTAAATACCTAAAACTGCCTTAGGTTCTTGACTCTTGTCTACATACCAAATACCATTGATAATTTCTTAAAAGATGTGTAACTTAGATGCGCATTCTGTATGCTTGATTAAAAAAAGACAAACAAATTCCTGAATACCCAAAACCCCTGGCCAGACCAAATTAACATGTATTTTTTTTGTACCAGTAACTGGACATGAAACAAGTTTCAACTTAATTGCATAAATTTTTAAGTGGCAATTTGAAAAATGCGTAAAACAGTAAAACAACTTGTTATGAGCTACCAAACTCACCATTTTGCCTCATAGGCCATGAACTTCATTGAAGGGAATAGAAACAAACCCACTTCAGCCAGTTTTCCCTGACCATCAATACCCAAGAAAAAATTTTCTTGAGGTGTAAACTGGTAGGAAACATAAAGCTTCATTTTAGCACGCAGCAAGTGTTTGATGTGAATACCATCCTTATGTGAAATCATTGATGCTGGTGTGTAAAGAGGTTTGAAGCAGTGGTGACCCTTGCAACTCAGTTCTTTAATTGGTGCATCTTCTTCAGAATATATTATAACTGCCTTAACTCCCACCTTGTTCATGTTGTGAATCTATAGAGAGAAAATTAGGTTAAAATCAATGTTTCTATAAAAAAATGATAAAACAGTACAATGCTGGCAAATCCTTTGCAGGACGCAGACTTTGAAAATGAATAAGAAATCAATCCTTTCACTCTCAAGACCTAAATTTCAATTCTCCACACTGTGTCACATGTTTTGTATGATTTTAGCCCTAAGAATTTGGTGTTGCATCAGACAATATCCACTAATTGACATTTTCTTTCTTCTCAATACTCTTTTGTCCAAAACTATCATGTGATTGTAAGGAGATATTCTGCTTTGGTCACTCCTGGGAGTGAAAAGGTTTAAGTGATCAAGAACTTGTGAGTGACTACATAGAAAGATGTCCTTGTAAGAATCACAAGGACCTCACAACTTTTGGCTAAGAAATCTAAGTTATCACTTTTAAAAATTTCTCATAAAAGCAAAATTAAGTGAGTTTCCTCCAAAAACCCTGCACATTCAGAACAATATAACTTGAAGTACAACAGTATGGAGCGTTATTAGGGTCAAATTTAGAAAACAAATTATGTTATGGTGTTTGATATTTCATTCGGCCGAACTACAGAATTATGTTCCAGCGTTGCATGGAATTATGTTCGGCTCTTTTAACTTGTGTTGGGAGTATTTCACTTATAACTAGGCTGGCAGTTTTTTTTGAGTTTAGTCCAATTTTGTTCGGCTCCTCCGAATTATGTTCGGAACGCGGCTACTCGAATTATGTTCGGCAAGTAGACTCTGAATTATGTTCGGTTCAATATGGTTCGCTATCACCCTCACTGAGAAGCGAGGTAACTTCCCGTAGAAGTTTAATTGCTTTAGCACTTTTGCATTCGTTTCGATTTTCTTGGTTTTCTACTCAAATTATGTTCGGCAAGTAGACTGGTAGCCTCGCAATAAGAAATTCACGAGAGTAGTAGAGAGTTTTCTAAATTTGACCCTAATAACGCTCCATACAACAGAGAGTAGTTTTTGTAGGACCTGCAATGATGAAATCCTTAGTTTCCATATTTTGTGGTTTTCAAGGTATAAAGCTTGAGAGAACTAGTGAAATTTTAAAGCATAGAGTGTAATATCTAGACAAAGTATGTTTGGCACATCTCCCAAAGTTAGTATGACCCACTCCTTAAAAAATAAATTTGAGGGACAAACAAAAGAGCCATGCTCAAGTAAGCATAGTTCATCAAAATTCCTCATTTTCATAACCTTAGTAAAATAAGAGCAGTCTCCACCAGGAGACACTAAAGCAATATGCCCTCCCTGGGCCTTTGTTTTCTGATCTTCATGTGTTTCGTCACTGACACCATCCCTGTTTTCTTCCTCCCAGTCAGATTTAAAGTGACAAGCATTTCCATAATAAGCAACACGATAATGAGCACCCTTGTGAATCAAATTGTGAGGTGATGGCAGCCAATCATATCTTGCATCCAACCTCTGTGTTACCAGCATCACTTCACCTGAAAAAAGATGATCAAAAGAATTTAATTGAGACCAAAGCCTTGTTGCAATTTAAGACAGTGAATGGCTTGAAAGTTCTTCAGATGCCTTACCTATCAAGGGAATCAATAACTACCTCCAAAACATTAAGTTTTCTTACCTTACCTGAATCACAACAAGAAGCTGTAAATTTCACCAGAACACAATCCCATGAGTCCACAAAGAAAACTGAATTTTTGCAAAATGTAACCTAAACTTTGTTGGGTTACTTTTGGAGGGTCAGTGTTTACCCATGGTTTTAATGTCTGACTATCTTTGTATACTAAATTTATGGTATGATGTACCATTTACCATCTTTTACATTATGGTGGACTGTCAGACCTCCTCGATCAATCCACCGATAAAGTCCTCACTTTTTTTGATTGGTTCTTCAAATTAAAATATTTTTGACATTTACTTAGTTCTTGCCAGCCATGCACCATAATTACTATCTCAAATGTTCCAATCCTTACACCTTCAGAATGGATTTACCTTCCTGTGATTTGATGACAACTTGAGCCAGTGCACAGCCTGTACCAAAGCAAGGCCAGTGCATTAATGCATAGGGAATCCAGTTTCCAAAGTCATATACTGGAAGACTGGCAAAATGAAGCCTATCTTTCCATGATGCCACCCAACTTTTGCCACATTTGTCTTTAGTTACAGTTGCATGGTGCTCTCTTAGTTGTGACAGCTTGAAAAAGGGTTCCTTTTCCACAGAATCATTGTTTTTATCATGTCTGATTTTTTTATAGTACCTCTGGCATGTTGTTTTCAAATCCTGTTGCAATACATTTGTCTTCCTGAAAAGTAGAAGTGTTAATCAATGAAATATTAATTCTTGAATTAAGTAGCAGCATTTGTTATCTCTTTATTTAACCTACCATCCCCTCTTAACCCTTTTTTTAACCCCATCTAATTTCTCCTTACAATATATTACCACTGAATCACACATTAATGTCATGAGAATAAAGGAAATCATCACCGACTAAAGAAACTCTTGATTGTTAGACAAATTCTCCTTGTCAGCACCTTTGTAAATGTCATTCCTCCAAGATAAATTGTGAAGGTTCCCATTGAAAAATTAAAAAAAAAACTATCCTACAAAGCTAGGTACCATGCAGAGTCCCATTTTGTGGATATAGCCAAAATTCATTTTACCTATAGAGGTATCAATAATCTAGTTTTAACCACCAAACCTATGAACAGGAGTGAGGTCCAGGGTGACATTGATATACTCAAGAAGAAGGACTAGTCAGTTTTAACAGAGGAATTTAGATATAAAAAGTAGCAATGTTTGGATATCAACAGGTTTACATGAAGCCTCATTCTTGTTCACAGGCTAAGCTATTAAGGACACAAAGTGTTACCCATTATTATCACTTTGTCTGGCATTATGGCACATTTTGCAGGCTAAAATAAAGATTTTGGAGAGCTTGAATGCACTTGCACATTTGCGTAAATGTTCAGGCTGTTTTATTTTCATGTTTATTTTTATTTAAATAATTTTATTTTCAGTGCCCCCCAAAGTGAGAATTATAGAAATACAGTCAAAGTTTCCATGTATTAACATGTTTTGGGCCTTGGTCAAAATCATCCTGACAACACTCTGGCTAATGAGTCTGAGTCAGGCCCATAACATATTTATGCCTGAGAGCATAGATTATTTGTTTTTATTAATAATCATTCAATGTTGGCATTGGAATAAAGTACCTATCTCTGTATCATCATGTAATTTTTTCTCTCATTTAATACAAGCACTTAACAACTGGCCCCATAAGAAACAGTGAATTTACAAGAAACTATTTTAAATTAGGGTACACAAGCTCCATTGAGAGTTTTCACCTGAAAGAAAAAATTCAGACACAAAATTGTTTTCTTGTATGTCGTTCTTCAGAAGCATTTTGTATTTTGCAACAGTTTTGAGGTAAACACAAGGCCTGACATAACTGAGTATTTTTCTTGGAAATTGGAAATAAAAATTTCAAGTGCTTATTTCTTGGAATTTTTATTGTCAGTTTTAGAGGAAGATGGTTAGAGTCCTTGCCTGAGCCTACATATTGTGAGAAAAACACCAGCACAACAAATAATGTTTACCTTACGGTCATTTCTCAGATCGTTAATAACTTTGACAGCACTGGCAGCCGTCATTATGGGTTTTTAAAACACCCCAGGGGTTGCACATGTCTACAAAATTTACCCCTTTAAGGTATAGCCTCCCCAGCGCCTTTGGCGCGCTTCGTAGGTTTTAGGACGCATTTTACTCACCTTTTAAAGTAATTCTCTACTGCTTTATGTAGAGTTTTTCGTAGCCAAAGCACGTCCTCTAGGGCTGTAGAGTCCGAGGATGACATGAATACGTAGTGAGTATTCCCTGGTGAATACTCGATGAACTCTTGCAGAGAAGTTTCATTTGTCCACAACGCTTCCAAGAAAGCCGATCGCTTGGTGAACAGGTGAAATATGACCGGGTGCGTTGACGTTCTAGGGTTTCCATTATTCTTCTTGTACACAATTCTGCCATTAACCGTTTGGAGAGCAAATGATGGTGCGGTATCCCCGGGCTGAAGATTTGGCAGTTGACTCCAGGCGAGAGCAAAACGAACCACGGACAGCAGAAGTGATTTTCTCGGATCAAATCGCATATTGATTTTACTCGCACAGCATTTTTTAACTTTCCTATGAGCGATGAACTCCCCTGACAGCGGGAAATTGTAAATATTTGCGAATAATTAGAGGACGAGAACATTTTTAGAAGCATGATCCAATTGCTCTGGTGACAACCTTAAATGAGTCGGGGAACTGACGGGATATCTGATCGCACATGTATGTCAACATCATGTTTTAAGAGGATCGAAAATGATCAAGCTTTCTGCCAATTAAGCTACATTTTAAAGAAATAAATTGAAAGAATATCACAGGAAAATTTTTTTCTCACTGTAAAACTTTTATAAAAAACATTTCTTTGAAATCAATATCATTTTTGTCCCTGTTATATTAAAAAAGTAGTGGAACAAATTGATTCTACCATTGGTCAAAAGCCTAATTCTCCTTACACGTTTACATGAAGGTCGAGAGTTCACAGTTTTTCCCGAAACTTACTGGCAAGTCAACGGAAAATTTGTCTTGAGTAAACTACGATGAATCCCGGGTGAGTATCAATATTTTATTATTTGATTTAACCCTATATGCCCGGAAAAGTAAAGGTAAAGATTATATCTGAGCTGAATTTTGAGATCAACACGTTTGTACACTTTTTACGCGATGTTTCAATTAGTTTCCTGCCTCTTCTCTCGTTTGTAATTTGTGGCTTTTTTATTCGAATGAGCTCTCCAAGTGTCCTTGCAGAGCAAACCTTATCATTTCTGTTCCCATATAATTGCTTTTACCAATGTAAACAGAAGTATATAAAGGCTTAAGGATGCAGGTAGCGTATGATCTAACAGGTCCCGTTAGGTATCTGCTTCGTTGCTGTAAGGGTAAGGAATATGTATGAGAAAAAAAAAACACCGAAACCCAGAGTAAAGAATACAATTAGATTTTCAATACAAATTTACTTTTATTAACATGCCGATTAAAGAAAATTGTCTGAGTAAAACAAGTTAATCGTCTCTCTCCCTAATCCTTTACAATGTTGAATTTATTCCTAGAAAGTTTCCTTTTCTGTCAACACATTGTTTAGGGTAAGGCTGGGATCAGTTTAATCGCTGTTTTGCAAACCCATTCCAAGTTAATTCTTAACAGACATATTGTGAGGTTTGTTTTTTAGGACAAACAATTCCTCAGGAATTTTTGCCATATTTATGGGTACCCTCCCTGAGTGGGACTCAGAGGTTGAATTCATAGTTCCCTGTGAAATAAAATTTTTACAGAGAGTCTGAGTTTGTATCGTTCCTCACATGTTTTCCGCTGTTTATATGATAATGTGATTAGTTCTTCAGAGATGAAATTGACACTCCTTTGTAATAACTTGGAAGACTAACTTTTTTAATATAATTAAGCTGTTGTGATAACAGATTTCTTGACAGTATCAGAATGAAAAGAAGGGAAACTCTGACTAATGGAAAAGTTATTGTAGCAACCTGTTGTGGTGAACATTACACATAGGTGTGTCCCTATTGAGTACAGATGAGAGTTTCTTTTTCCTTTTAGTGTCAATTCACTTAGAGAAAAAAAGAGTATGTCTGAACAATATGCATTCAAGGAAAATATCTATACCTCAAAACAGTGTTAATGACTCCCACTGTCATCACAAGTATGGTACAGACCTGAAATTTTTTTCTGATACATGTTTGCTAAACACCAACATTTGTTAATTTCTGCTGATATTTAAAACCTAATTAAATAATTTCCATCCAAAAATTTCAATGTTCAGGATTTGAATGATCTTACTCAAACTTAGAAGACATATAGAGGACCCATGGGGTTTGATGAAGCCAAATTCTTGGAGGCAGCGCGTGAAATTGACAATGTAAATCTGGACGGGTATGAGTTCTTTACAGAGTCTCTTAAGGAAACTGTACAGTGTAAGATATACAGAAAGTATGACGAGGTTAGTGTTGGTATCTGTAGGGCATTGTTTAAGAGTTAAATGTAATTTAAAGGGATTCTAATAACTCAAGAATGGTGCTACAGATTAGAACTTACAAAAGACTACTGAGAATTACTGTCAACCTATAAGTGTTGGATACTTGTTCTTTTAAAAGACCCTAAACACCTTTATTAGCCTGAATTATTTTTTTGAATGGTTTGTTACAAGGTTTTGCTTTGGTAATCATCAAGGAAAAGGGTATTATATTGTTTTCAATATCTTCATCACCTCACCCATATACTTTTTTTTGCAAATTTACTTTTGGAAAGATATGTTCAATGATGGACAGAATGAAAATTATATTTCACAAGGAACTTAAAGCAAAAAATGCTGAAACTAATAAATTGTTTTCACAGCTTTCTGCTTTATTGGTGCTAGTCATGGGAAACATTAAAAAAGAACTGAAAAAGACTGCCCACAGAAGGCTTTGGATTGTTCTTACTAAATAATAGTTCTGTTAATCCTGTACATTTGCTCCCTCATAGTTTAAAAAAAATAAAACTGGTGTAATCAAAGGCTTACAGCTTAATTTTGCCGTTTTTAGGTTTCTGGATTATATGAATACAAAATAACAGGATTGCTTGAAGATGTTGGTCTAGATGTGTGTAAAAACGTTTATATGGACTTAGAATACAGAAAGAAATGGGATGGATATGTCAAGGGTGAGGTTCACTCACACTTCAAATTTATTCATTTTTCAGTATTTGTCAATGGATAATTGTAATGTGATTATCCACTTACGCTGTCTAACATTACTCTGGATACGATACGATAGAGTTTGAATTTAACAATAAAAATGCAACAATATACACATTTAATCATTTTTCCAATCAGTAAATTGTAAGGTCAGGGCAGAGACCAAGGGCTTTGTTTAGTGCAGGGCAAGGTCATGATCCCACAAAAATGTATCAGACCCCCTTTCTACTAGAACATTATGTGGACCTGCCCTTTACTGATGCTACTTGGCTTGGTCAGAAATTGGTCCCTAATTCAATTTAATTAACAGACCAAAAATTAAATCTTACTATCCTGGACAATGAATGGTTGTTGTTTGTTACTTTCAAAAATTTGGTTGTAATTGTAAATATCCTAGCTAGAAAATTAGGTTGTTATTAATATCCTTGCTAGAAAATTAGAATCCATGAACTGATTTGTGTCTTAACTAGAACTTTATGAATTTGATGATGATGGAGTCAAGAGTATTTACTGGAATGTAAACTATCCATGGCCCATGTCAAACAGAGATGTATCCTTTGGAAATCACTGCCAGTATTCATTGTAATTTTAATTTTTTTGTAGTAACCTTCCACATAATTTTCCTAATTTTGAAATTAAAAAGTGCTTTTCAATCAATAAGGGCCATGCACTAAATGCAAACTTCACTGTATCTGTCATTATCCCTCCAGCAATCCTTATCCTCTTTGCCATCATGTACCGTAATTTCCGGTCGTTTACCCGCACGTCCGATTACCCGCACCGGCCGATTATTGCATACGGCGAAAAAAAAAGTCACCAGATTACCCGCACTGGTGGATAACCCGCACGTTGTTATTCAACTTTTTGGTGGCGAAAACGTGACATTAAGGTGATACATTTCAGTCTTTTAAAAAAGTTGTTTGATCCAACTTTCGAAAACTTCGAAGCGTCTTTGTCGAGTTTAAAGGTCAAAGAAATTCAGACGCGTGCACAATTCTGTGTCAATATTAGCATGTACTTTATTGATAAGATTATACAGTAAAAACACTAGCGGCCCATGCCCAAATCTCAACGTTTCATACTTGACAGAATGCGAATTTGTGGCCACATTTTGTGCGAGCAACCGTTCAGCGCCATGTTGATTTGTTGAAAAAAAGCTGAGTGAGTATTAAAACTTGAATTATAAAGTACTGTCGGCGATTTCTGAAAAAATCGATATCTCCGGTTCTATTGGGCCTAAAGAGTCCCTTAAAACGGGAAATTCTCTTTAGCTCAAGCTAGTGTTAAATGGAAATTTTGTTACTGATGCGCCGGATATCTATGGATAATTTTTGTCACCATCAAGGTTTTGTTTTCACGCGTGCCGATAATAATTTGTTCGTCGCGCAACTAATTATGCGTGAAATAAACTCGAGTCGGCATCATGTTTTCGTGCCGCTTTGCGGCACTCTTAACACAATAAAATTTACTTGAGAGGTGGAAACGCATGTTGGTGATATTTTTTTTTTCAATTCAACTACCACTGGATTTTAAAATTGTCACATAACCCGCACCTCCCTATTACCCGCAGTGGCGCGCGTTTAATGCAAAATCAGCAGATTACCCGCGGGTAAACGACCGGAAATTACGGTAATTACTATTGCCATCTGCCACTTAATACACAAGGGTAATCAGGCTCTAAATGTTAAATTAAAGCTGGTTTGGTCCATACCATCCTTAGAATAAAGCCTCTCTTAAGTTTTTTAAACCTGGAATTGGAAGATGTTTAACTTTGGACCACATCCACTCCCACCCCACTCCCACAGTTAGTTGATTCACTTTCTTTTTTCCAGTCTCTCCCCACTTACTGACAATGGAGGCACATAATCAAAAGTATAAAACATTTCTTCACAAAAAATACAACCATTGTAGAAAATAAACTTAATTACTATTGATGTGGATAAAATTGCTTGTCATTGATTTCTTCACATTTATGTTTAATAAATGTCAAATTTGCCATGAACTGGGAGATTTAAAGAAGTGGATGGAAGACCAGGAGATTTGATCTGCACCCCAAAGACTTGCAGATAAACCACTAGAAAAGCTTGTATAGCTTAATTTCTCTTGTGCATTTATGTTCCTTGACAAAAAAATTCTGTATTCAAATTCTACTCTTGACAGTATGTATACACACGAGAAATGCGTGAAATGGAAATAAACAGTATTCCAACTGTTGTTGTGTTAGCTGAAAGTAATTCACTTTCCAAGATTCCAGAAAAATCAGGGGTTGTGAGAGTGAAAGAATTTCACCAAAGTCTAGTAATTCAGAGTGATGGTAAAGTAGGAACAAAAGGTACTGAACAGGTGGCTTATGTATCAAAGTAATTACATGAAATTGTTTGCATGACTTTAAAAGAGCATCTTGCACCCTTGAGAGAAACTCATTTCAAGAACTATCTATGCTTGCCTAAATTACCTAAAATAGTTTTTATCAATGTGCACTACCGTTTGTAACGAAAAAACCAGTGGTATTCTGAGACATTTATCTATTAACTTCTTCTAGCATTCAGCCTAAATTACCTAAAATAGTTTTTATCAATGTGCACTACCGTTTGTAACGAAAAAACCAGTGGTATTCTGAAACATTTATCTATTAACTTCTTCTAGCATTCATGCATTACTTTGACAATCCTGGAGGAAGTATCCCAACTTGGCTTATTAACTGGGCTGCAAAGGTTTGCTCTAATAAATAAGAATGCACATAAAGCTATTTATGACACACATTATATATTCTGAAAAGAAAGTTTGGATCACTTCTCTTAGACTTTTAAAATACAACCTAGGAATACTGGTGCATGTTCTTTACTGTCAAATCAGAGTTCTCTATTAATAATATCCTGAGATTGGATGATGTGTTCCAAAAACTTTACTATTGCCCTTGACTTCATGGCACCCTGAGGTACCAAGAATACTAATGATGTATTCATTTAAGTTTTCTGCATGCCATAGTTAATTTTTTGTTTATTTATCCTCAGACTGGAGTGCCAACCTTTATGAACTCAATGAGAGATGCCTGTTTAGGTTATGAGAAATACACTTCCTCCAAAGGGACTTGACGCAAAGTTGACCGCACTTGCACCATTTGTGATTGGCCTAGCAACTACACTATATAATATTATGTTTCTACAACCTACTGTTAAGAAGTTCATCAACTAACTACTTCTGATCCACCAAATGGCTGTGGAAATTCTCATATGTTAAGTAGCAGAAATGTAACTGTAATTTTTATGACTATCATGTTACATAAACATTTTGTGAGGTTTTATTTTATCCTAATTTATGGGTTATCCTTGGTCCAAGAGAAAAACCTTTACAAAATGTGCATGCAAATCAATCATTGCAAAAATAAATTTTTCATATCTCAACCAACTCAAAATACTGATCTATATTTCAACTTCCATGTGGCTCCTTTCCCTATCACCCAACAAATTAGGAAATTTGAAAATAATAGTTCTCTTTTTTTGTCATGTTCTACTTTTTGAACAAGCAATTGCAAAAGAAGGTTTCCAGAAGAAGAGTGGATAGTACTTTACAGACTGTTGCATGTATGTACAATATTTTTTTTGATACATATGCCTTTAATTTCTGTTTACAAGAATATAAGATTGTTACAATTTCAAGTTTGGGTTTTGGTTGTTGTCATTTCATGCCCAGAGAGAAAAATTATTATAATGTCAGAAGATATGAACAATAGCAATTTTTCACAGCATGCATTTTGTAATATTCTATTGATATGGTGCACATATTTAATTTGCTTTATTAAAAATTTATTTTTTTCTCACACACAACTATTTCTATGTGTTCAAGTTTTTATCTGCATTATTAGCATATTATACAAAAAAAATTTACACATATGGTAAAAGAATTTCAAATTTTTCCTTAGTTTGAATTTTTTCAAACTAGCTTGATTATTATTTCCATTGACTCATGTAATCATAAGTATTACAGATGATGAAAATAAGGATTAAGCTGTTTTGAAAAATTTCACACCTTGAGAAAATTTGAACCACAGCATAAACATGCACAAGAATGTTCAAATTTGATGGCAACACCATCACTCTTTAATTTTCATAGTTTTACTTTAAGTGATACATGTACACACCTACTCTGATTGGCCAAATACACAACTATAAATAGAACACGAACCATAGGATTCTGGATCCATGAATGGACATGACAATCCTTAGTTTATTTCACACTGTCAGTGAAGTATTCTTTTGAAGTCTTGACTGCTGTTGCTCATTTATTGATGGTACCCACCATTTTCCATTCCACCAAAGCACAAGATATGAGACTCTCCAACAAATTTAGTTCATACCCATTTAAGAACTAATGATTTTTGGTTGTGTCTGAGTCAGTGGCTATTTCTTGGTGTAGCGCGTAAAGCTGACATAACTGCTCATCATTCGCACTTGACAATTGATCTACTGATAAATAGCTTCCAAAGTCCTTTCCTAGTTCTTGCTGTCTTTCTAACATATCAGCATACATCTACAAATGAATAAAAAATTGAAGAATCCATTATTCACAAAGTAGGTGCGTTGGAACTCACCTTCCTGTCAGCAAGTGGTGTAGGGTCTAGTTAACAGCTATGAGTGAGATTACTCACAGAAAAAGAGGATACATACAGAAAAGACAACCCTCACCCAGCCCTAGTTGGTTTGATGGTGATTCCACAGAAGCCAAGGCTCCAAAATGTGATGAAGATGAGCATTGGAAGTTTTAAAATTCCAAGATATTAGATGTTGTATGTTTCAATGGGTTGATTTCCACCCCATTGCAGCATCAATAATAAATAAAACAGGCTACTTCAGAGAACATCTTTAAAAGTTTCCTTAATAGATAGTTTTGGTTGCTTTGGGGTGGTAGTTGATGTAAGCCCAATTGTTCCATGTCTTTTGTCCTTGAAGCAAACTTCTCCATAGAAGACTCTAGCATAAAATTTAACTAAATCCTCTTTAGTTTCTTTTAATTTTAGCTTCAATTGCCCACTACTATTTTATCTCAGCTAACACTGCTGATGCTAGAAAGCTTCCTAAACCACACAGAATGCCATCTTATGTCATTTTTACTTCTAATGTTGACAGAGGAATCTTAAATTATTATGCATTGGTAAGGCTGAGTTTGGGCATAAATATTTTATTTCAGTTGTCTTGTAGAAGTGACCTATGAAGTAAAAAGTAACTCTTGCCCATGTATTTCTAGAAAACAATTTTCAGCTGGCAACCAAAGAGATTTTAAAGTGAGAAAAGAGACAATAAGTTATTAATCAGCTTCATTTGTTAAAAAATACTTTGCTTCAAAATAATGCCCAGCTGGAAAAACAAAATTTATTTAAGAAGAATGGCAAGAAAGCTAGGGATGTTCTCTGTGACTCACAAAAGCATTACTGACCATGCTAAGAACCAATCAGATTGTAAGATTTGTTACCATGCTCCCTGAGAAAAAAAAAATTTATCTTATTAGACTTTTTGGTGTGTATTATCACTAAGTAGTGTAAAGAGTTGTTGTACTTTGATGAGCCTGTAGGGTAAGTCAAAATACAAACTAGTAAATATTCAGTGATACTACACACTGAAATGTCCAGTGAGTTATTTATTATCTGACTGCTTTTTTTTCTGCTTAGTCTTTCAGTTCATTTCTGATAAGGTGGGAAAAGCAGAACTTATAGCACGCTCAGCTGACTAGTTAAACAGGTTTTTTTACTGCAAAAAATAACCAAGGGTCCAAATAACTGTACAATATCGCAGGATATTTGTACTCTATTCTCGTGTTATTTGTACTCTACTTTGTGCAGTTGGATGATAATGAAGAAATGTAAAATGGTTTCCGTGTTTACATAGCCTGATGTAAACACACGGGAGGTTGGGAGAACACGAGATAAGCGTAGGAAACCACATTATGAAGCGGAGTGGTTTCCAGCTTGTTGAGTGCTCTCCCAACCACCCAAGTGTTTACATCAGGCTATGTAAACACAGAAACCATTTTACAGTTCTTTTATAAAATAACTAATGAAAGAGGAACGAAAACCGTGTTTACATACGCTCATGTAAAATGGTTTTAAGGCCAATCAGAGCGCGCGTACTATTTGGATTATTTTATAAAGCGAAATATCCAATCCTTGAGCTTACTAATAGTATGAAACGTGCCACAGTCGCCCTCATTATTCAAAACTCGCACCTTATTACAAACTGCTTGAAATTATTGACACTTGAATCTAACTAACACTTTTCTTATTCAAGAGTAATATACAAATGTCTCTCAACGTGGTGCGGCGAAAATTAAAAGAAAAGGAATGAAAAAAAACATAATACTACTGTGCTGCCGGTCACGTACAGCTAGACCTAATTTACAGAGTAGATAATAAATCACTGTAAATAGAAACATTCTAAAACTTTTACCTAGTAACGAATTCATGTTGTGTAATAGGATTCCACAATTCCAAAACTACGACCATTACTTTCTCGATAAGACCGTTTTCGTTACATAATACTTGGCGAGAAGTGCAAGCAAGTTACCTTCCACTCTTGGATAAATTCTGTGAGTTGTTCTCGTGTAGCATTTTTGTGTCTTCTAAACTCATCTTTTAAATACTGGTCTCCTAAAGCCTTAGCTGTTAGAGGAAGGTTCCTATGTAGCTTTAGAATACGGCGATAGAGCCTCAGAGAAGCGTTCATTACTCTGATTTCGTGTTAAGTAAAGACATAGAGAAAGTAACAGGCGCGACAGTCATTTCCAGTCTCCCGCCGTTGTTTACTTTCCGTACACTGCCAAGAAATGAAACGATCTAGGGAAGACATACATGTGAATACATTTACAACACTAATAGTGTATTATGGCTTGCAGGTGAAGCTCGTTGTGGGAAGTCGGGTTTGATCTATTTCGGCGTTCCCCATCGCTCAGAATGCTCATCCAACGAATGCCGATTGCGAATAGAAGAAGAAGGTCGGCCGTAGGTCATTGTTTGAGGTAAAAATGGCGACTGTCACTCAATCAAATACATCTGGAAGCCCGAATGCGACGGGAGTGTGGAATCGATTGTCTCCAGAAGAGTTTCAACAGCTCCAGGAGTACACTAAGTGTAAGAGATTTTCCTCCCTTCTTTGTCCTTTTGGTTAACAAAGTACTTTAACGCGCAGTTAATGTTTGGTGTTGTTTAGTGATATACAAACCGTGGCGTTACGGATGAATCATGCCGTTCGAATTTCGTATATAGCTATCTCCGATATTCAAAATTTCTATGCCATTTCTCCTTTTGGATATTAGCATACGAGACCATACTGATGCCTTATTATTTCACAATAAAATATTAACGTGGCCGAAGTGATATAATCTGAAGTGAGAGTCGTTCGTGGTGTACTCTTTTAATTTTAATCAAAGAAATACTGCGTACAACGCCATACAATACGGTATGAGATGAAGGTTACACTGGGGTCTCCGTGTTTACATGTCTTTCCTATGGTGTGCACTGAAAAAAGTGACATAAATATTGTTATTTTTCAGTGATACTCTTTAACTACATTTCCATTTTGAGTTGATAACAAAACGCTGGACACGTACGTAGATTGCCTAACGAAAAACGAATCCGGATTTTAATACTTTAGTATTACACTAAGCCTTATGCTCTTAGGTGTTCTTCCAGTAATAATATGGCGGCTAGTGTTATTAGTCTAATTTTCACATGTATAAACAATAATGTTCGTAATTTTTAAAGACAAGGGAAGATTTGGGTGGGTGTTCTCGTGAGAGTATTTTCTGTTCGAGCCCTTCGTTGCCTCTGTAGGAATAGACGAACAAAAATTTAAATTCTGAGATATGCGGTGTTATTGATGTGCGGTGTTGGTTGATTTTTTTTTCGGTGGACGTTTTTCGGTGCATTTTTGTTCGCTGTCGTATTTTTATTATCTCAATTTTCTCAATTGCGATCCTCATGTTCCCCAGCCAAAAGAGCATTTTTCATAAACGCTTTCTCAATACTAAATTTCCTACGATGTCACATTTATTATTATCAATTTTTTTTGCTTTTCATATTATTTAAATGTTCCTGACGCAATTTAAATGAACAGTTTATGGCGACACATTATGTCCACGACTTGTTGGCGGTTTCTTTCGAATCTTTTATATCCGGGAGCTAAAACGAAAACTTTCGAGTTGATTTTTAATCTTCCCTTCTGATTTGTGGTTACAAGGAAAGGTTGACTTGTTCAAATACACGCGTTTATATCTCCTTCTCGTTTAGGGAAGATAAGAGCAAGGTTGCGTTTCTTTGTGATATATACTCACTCAGAATGTTTGACTATATTCATTCAAAATAAACTGCTAGAATATCTTTTCTTTTTGTGGTAAGATTTTTTAAAATTTTAGATTTTCAAGCAATTATATTTCTTGAATTTTCCAGTTACACCCACCAGTGTTTAATATTATCCAAAGAAATGTCTAAGTGTTGTCATAAAATATTTATAGCTTTTGGCATACAAACACGGGTTGACAAACAAAATATCACTCTTTTCACTCAATATGAATGGCAAGGACATTTGAAAACATTATCAAAATTTTGTCTCAATAAATTTTCGGGAAGTCATCCTCAAATTTGTAAATTATTATGGTTGATGATTCTTGAAAGTTTTCTTCAAATTGCTGTTAAGTTTTCTATCAACTGTGGCATTAAGTAGTCTTCAATATTCAAGTCAACACCCTTTGAATTACCTGTAGTTGTTTATTAAACTGCTGTGTAGTTGTGTTATATCAGGCCTATGCTTATAAAACCAAGCACAATGCATGTTAGTCTGTTACTCTATAAATATGGGATTAAATGTTGTTGTAAATTTTGTGTTACCAGCATTAGTGAATGAATGTGAGAATTTTTATCTAGAGACGACATGTTCTTTCGCTTATTTCACTAACTTTCTAAATATACACGTCATGTACAATTCTCGGCTAGGTGCTTAATTGATGAATTTTAATATATGCTTCATTATTTCATGTTTTACATCTATAAATGTGGTTGGTTGTATTAATGATTCCCTACTGTTCTGGAGAATGTGTCAGCCAATAGCAACCAAGTAAACTTTATCAAGCCTTTTTGTTTCCTCTTAAAGACAATTAGACTCTTTTTTGCAATTACGGTAGCATAGCTTTCTCATAAATTGAGAAATTTCTCGGAAAGGTTTGATATTTAGTTCTTGTAAAGCTTTTAGACAAAAGTGTAATGTGTGTTAATGATTTTTGTTATGATAAATGTGTTATGATTTTAATGGGAGACATTTTATAAATGTCAGATGTTACATGTAACTCATGTAACTCATTCTGGGAACAAACATTCTGAAGCATTATTCATTCCTAGTTGTTACAAAAGAATCATTAGTAATTTGAATATCCACAGATTGAAATTTCTGAGTATTGCAATGTATGTTCCAAAATGGTGACTAAATGAAAACAGTTGCAATCAAAGCTGTTTTGCTAATGAAAATTATTTGTGTTTTTTTGATGTTATGCATTTATAAATACTGCTTCTTCTGTTGAGTGATTTTCATTTGTAATGAATACAGTTTAAAATGACATCTCCATGTGGTATTCATTGTACAGTTTGTTTTGTTTCTATTTTGCATTTAGCTTTTGATCAAGTCTCCTTTTTAATTAAACACCATTTTTTAAAACCTCCAGATGCCAAGACACGTCGATTGACAGATGTTCTTCAACAGTTCCGCGATGGGGTTTATCCTCAGTATAACCCAGAGAAGGTAAGTGTCAATACACTTTGTTCCCCACATGCTGTAATATTTAACATTTAAACCCTCATAAATAATTATTCCAATTCTTTCGACATGACAGTCTACCATAATTTTACATGAATGTACTTGAACATGTCAAAACTTTTGGTTGTCATTATTGATAGAATTCATAAAAAAGTTTCTTTAAAGCCATGCAACATTTGACCTTCTTTTTCTTGAAAAATGATGCAGCTGCAAATGTGTAATTGTGCACACAATAATTGTTACTTTCTACCTTTGAAATTTACATATGAGATTTGGTATGTGATTTTTTTTTTTTTTAATCAGATTCAATTTTTTTTCTGATGGACCCTTTAAAAAACTTTGTGGCAGCAACACTCACATACAGTTTGGTGGTTCATGATTATCAACAACAATTCAAAGGGTCTATGTCACGCTGTGAGTTGGGGCACTGACTTCTTCTAAATTGACACTTATAGGTGTCAAATAGATATTGTTTCTTGTAATGATCAACAAGAAGCAGAGTGTGAGCTAGATAATCACAAGGTGTTTTGGTCACATACCGTTGTGTATGTTCCGAAGTAATTACTGATACAATCCACTATCTACAGTCCTATAGAAAAATTTTTTGCCCCAATTATTTCCTGTGAGCTTCAATAAATATCAGGGCTTTTCCTATCAGCAAAGGCAATTTGAGAGTTAAGAAAGGTGTTACATGAAGAAGAATCTCACAAATACAACTATCTTCTTTAGGAGAACATTTAAAATAAAGGCAAATTGATCTTGAGCTAGAAAAGCCAGAACTTGAAATCATTCTAGTTAGCTTTTTCATGAATCAGAATGTATACAATAACACTAACTTTAAGTCTAACATTACAGGGAATACACTTGCATTGTTAACTTTTTTAATTTTTCTGCCAATAAACATATATCTGAAAATGTAATTTTTGTACTTATGAAGTGATTCTTTCTGGGCATGTAATTTTCACAAGAGTATTTTAGAATACATGGACTCTCCTCCAATGGCCGCATGGCTTTTCTTAGACAAGCACTGTAGATTGTTTACAACTTGCACATCTTGTGGTTTATTTATCACTTGCTCAGTGTGGTTTAACAAAGTTAAAAAGTACTGAAAACCTTCCTTATGCTTATTTTTGTCAGTCTTCCAGTAATTTCAATATTTTCCCAGATGTTTAGTAAATGAATAATCACTTCTAACACGTGAAAGTCAATGTGATTATGTACATATTAAAAAAATGTTGCTGATAGTAATTTAAGATAATCCATCAAGTAAAAGCTCTGCAAAAGTTTATACTTGTGAAACATTTCAAGACGTGTCAATGTTAAGAACTGATCAATCAGCTTGAATGGTTTTCATGGAAGACATTTACCAGGTTGTACAGTACAGTTCCCTCAGTGCAAGAACAATTGTGCTCCATCAGAAATAGTGTAAATTTTCAAAGTCAATCAAAAATACAAAACTTTAAGGTATGTGGAGTACAAAAAAAAGTACAAATTTAGAAAACGAGAAAGTTACAAAATTCAATTATTGGGGTTTATGTTCTGGGCTGAAGTGATACATGCACAATGTACATGGAACAGCAAATTTTAAGAACAAAGTAATTGTACATATATTTTTCTTAAGAAAATTCTCTTATTAAGGAAGAAATAGAAGCCGAGAAAAAAGAAATATTGGCATTTTAAGACCTTAGGAACATTTTGATAAGAAAGCATTAATCTTTAAATTTACTTGGATCACTTTTAACTTTTAAAGCCTCAAGTTTTTAAGTGCCAGCTGTTCATTCTTGGTGTTTTTTGTTTTTCAGCCAATGGACTATGAGGGATTCAAATTATTCATGTCTGCTTATCTTGGTAGTAATGTGAGTGAGGATTTATGTGAACATCTCTTTTGGGCATTCCATAAACAAGTCGCTGTGCAGTCTCCATCTCTGTCACAAACTATCATAGATAGTGTGGCTGTATCA